GGATATATTCTTCAATTTAGTGAAGTATCGTTTATTCTAAAATGTTAAAATTTTTATACCATTCAATTTATCTACATTCATAAACCCATATAATCCATGTCGGTTTTGTTTCTAAATTACTGTCGTATAGAATGAAAGTCCCACATATAAAATGTATACTTTCTATTGATTTTTATTTTTTCTTTATTATTTGATTATAATAATTTTTATTTTATATTATTTTATTGTCTGTAATAAAACCACCAAGAGTGTTTAGTAATCTCTAATAGCATTTATATATTCGATATTATTAAAAATATAAAAAAAAAACACCTGAAAACTATCAATTGTGAATTATGCTGAAAACTGTTGGTTTTTTCTATATTTACACAGATTAAATAAAATTAATTAATAATTATTGCTAATTAAGAAAGTCGTAAAATTATAGTACTAATTACAATATAAATAAATTTTCCAACACAATATATATATAATTAAACCATCTCTCGAGAGATGCCAAATTATTCTCGAGTACTAACATGAATAACTGATATATACATCAAATTAGTAAACAAACAATAGGTCGGAGATATATTAATTGATTTTAATACATTTAAATGTATAATACTAATATTTTCTATATCAAGTATTTTTTTATCATATAACTAAATCACAAAATCGATAATATCGCGTTATCGAATCTCAGAATGGTTACCGGCTCCTTGGGGAGGTATGCAGATCTGAGGTCAATTACAGCTTAGTCTGATGATGTTATAAACAATAATACAGTCAAGGCGTAAAGAGGGGTTTTGAAGATACCACGAATTAATAAAGAGTAAGAGTGCACTGGCTCAAATAGCTTCAACATAATGAATCAGAAAAAGAACACTTGAGTTCTGTTAAGTAATAGTTCCACTGACGGTCTTTCTAGTTATACTTTCTTTCATGGTTTTTAGTGTAATTTCAATTAAAGTTATTGAATTCAGTAACTTAATAAAGAACTAATTTTAATTGGATTAATTGGAAAATCATTATACGTAACTATATATAATATTCTTCACACTAATTGGATTACTTTTACAAACAGAACTTAATCCATTTTATTGTCTAAATAGTGTAGAACATAATATATATTATACATTGTATAATATTTATTGAATTTGGAAATAAAACTGTAGAGGTGTAAATAATTTGAATTAAAAAGGATTAGTCAATGAAATAATAATATAAGCATTTGATTATATTAAAAGTAGCAATTTCAAGAAAATATTGAAATGTATAGAAAGCGTGGTATTTTTGTTATATTAAATAGATATAAAAATTAGACCTTTTATATTTCTTTCTGATAAATAAGAAAATCACATAAAATACGCTCAGTTAAAAATTGTATTTCATATAAAAAAAAGAGAAAGATTTATTATAAAACTTTTATTAAATAATTAAATATGAAATATTATTTAAGTTATCATTTTGAAAGAAGCCTTATAGTATTTTAATGAAGTGGAATAGTATATTACTATGTTAGTAGATATAAAAATATTGGAAAGAAAGAAAAAAAACTGCCCTTATCTAGATTGCTTAATTTAACAGTGTGAATAAAACTTTCTCGGAACATTAAATTTAAAAAAATATAAATATATATTTGACCTTTAACATAGAATGTTATAAGAAACCAGAAAGTAATATAAAGTTTTTCAGAATATTTAATTTTTTTTGTGTCAATGAAAATATATCTGATAGATTTTTACAATTTTTAAGAATGTTTCATGTAAACTTTTCTTTTGCTCAGTGTTCTGATTTTGATTCTCTTCTTATACCTAATGACTAATCCAATTCTATTATTAAACTATATACTAATAATATTATCAACAACTCTAACATTTTACTTCTGTTAAATGTTTATATAAGATATTTCATGAAAAGTTTAAAATTTGAGGTATATAGATAATATATATCATGTTTACAATATGTCTCCGACCTACGTATATTACGAATAATAGTAATAAAGTAATAAAAGAACAGCACATAAAAATATAACTATATAAAATACAAGTACATAATAATATCTTTTAATCTAGAAATGCATGTATCCTATTTTTATTCTCCTATCTGATGTACTCAGAATTCTGTAATATATCCTAAAAAAACACATTTATTGAACAAGCGATTAAGTTTTAATTAATGCGATTATAATTTATTTTTATATTACTTAGCGTAGGTTGTCGAAAGCATCTCGATGTTCCTTTTATATATAAAAGTTATATATAAGTATTAATTGAAAAAAAAAATTATTTAAAATGATCAAACTTGAAAAAAAATAATAACAAAGATAATAAAAATTATGCTTATGTTAAAAAAATAAAATTTGTTTTAATTTATTATATAAAATACGTAAACATTACATATAAAATATGTAAACAACAAAGAACCGCTTCTAAAGCAGCATCAGATATACTGATCTGAATATATCTTCACCTCTAACACAAATTATTAAATAAAAAGTAAACATTTTGCTTGATTTTTAAAAACTATAAAGTTTATGATATTCCCCTAAAAGTAGTTTATAGCTATGCAGGGGCATAAAATATGATCATTAATTACACTGGTCAACAAAGATTTTATCCTAGAGACGTTGTTAAGAGATCCTAGACGTGTTTTTCGTGCTGATTCCGAATCTGTATTTAGATTCTTTCTATCACGTCTAGATTCTTCAAAACAGTTGAATGTATATTTTTGCTATAAAGTCGTAATTTACCTACTGCTCAAAAAGTATCCGGATTTTGTTGTTTGTTAACTACTTTTTAAGTAATAGACCTTTTTCAAAAATTTTTTTTTTGTTATGTTTGTACACCTTTTCTTGACATATGATACAAATTTCAGCGCCATCTGACAATTAGTTTGTTTACAGCAGCTGTTAATGTGAGACTACCTCAAGTGCATTTAGCGATTTTTACTATGGAAAAATTCTTGTTATACGCGATTTTTTGACCAAACACGGCACCACTCTCATCGCTCAGGCACCATATTCGCCAGATCTGGATCCGTGTGAGTTTTTTCTGTTCCCGAAACTCAAATTGCTCCTTCGTGGTAAGAGTCGATTGAATCGGTAAAAGAAAATTCGCCGAAGGAACTAAAAGCCATACCTTCACGGGCCTTTGAAAAGTGTATGAAAGATTGGGTTAAGCGTTGGGTATTTCATTTATATATGATATATATAGTATACATTATTTTCGTGATATAAATAATAATATTACGAATTAATAAATCTGATGGACCTCATCTTATAACGCAAGACGATTTAAACGATCTAGTGCGCGATTTAAAGTTGTGCAAAAAGAAGAGTGAAATCTTAGGATCACGATTAAAGGGTTGGAAATTGTTGGATCCAAAAAATAAAATTTCTATGTATCGATCTCGCCATGACGAATTTAAATTATTCTTTTCTCAAGAAAACAACCTTATTTTTTGCAATGATGTTCTATCTGTTATGGATATTCTTAATTTTGAATACAACGATGATGATTGGCGTTTGTTCATTGATTCTTCTAAGGTCAGTTTAAAGGTTGTTCTCTTACATAATGGAAATGAAATTCCCTCAATACCGTTAGCCCATGGAACTGATATGAAAGAAACTTACGAGAATATGCAGTTTCTCTTAAAAAAAATTCACTACGAAAGATATAAGTGGAAAATTTGTGGTGACCTAAAAGTTATTGCAAATTTACTAGGCTTACAACTTGGTTACACGAAATATTGTTGCTTCATCTGCGAGTCGGATAGCAGAGACAGAAAATTGCATTACTTGAAAAAAGATTGGCCACAACGTAAAGCACTCGTTCCTGGAATCAAAAATGTCCTCTTCCAGCCTTTGGTCGATCCTAAAAATATTCTTTTGCCACCTCTGCACATTAAATTAGGACTTTTTAAAAATTTTGTTAAAGCCATGGATAAAAATGGTGATGCTTTTACTTATTTGAAGCAAAAATTTCCTAAAATAAGTGAGGCAAAGATTAAGGAAGGTATTTTTATTGGGCCACAGATTAGAGAACTGCTGAAGGACTCGGAATTTCAACAGCAATTGAGTTCAACAGAAATTAAAGCGTGGAACTCATTCAAAAATGTAGTTGAGCATTTTTTAGGAAATATGTTGGCTGAAAATTATCGCGATCTGGTGGCTAATCTAATTGATTCATACCAAAAAATGGGCTGCAATATGTCTTTAAAACTTCACTTCCTACACCCCTTGAATCACCCGTTAATCTGGTTGTCTAAAGAAAACTAGACGTGATAGAAAAAATCTAAGTCCAGATTTGGAATCAGCACGCAAAATACCTCTAGGATCACTCAATAACATATCTAGGATAAAAAAAAAATTTTTTTTTGTTGACCTGTGTTATTTAATTGGCCACAACAGCCCATTACCGGGTGTCGGCATGTCTCTCCAGATGTCTCTGCTAAATGTGCGGCTCCTCTAGTCTCATACATAAAGTTCGGTTAGTGCTTACGCTACCTCAACTTGATCACTCCACCTGAAACCTCTACACCTTTTTCCTCCAATTACTGCTTTACATACCCAGTTCGCTGGAGCATCTTCAGCGGTCTTCAGCCTTCTTTTTTTTGTTGACTAACACTATCAGTCCCAATGTTGTTGAATGTTCTCTATGTCGTCAAAAATATTGCATTTACTTCTGCTAGCGTGGAGGGCTGACGTGTGGGCTTCGAGTGTCTTCTCCTTTTAGCACCATTTATAATATAAAGCACTTCTGATATTGTATTTATCAAATCGGCCAAATGTCGCAACTTTTTAAACTTGCCCTATAACTGGTAATGCTTATAGGTTAGTGGCCTGTAAGTAATAACTTGTCAACAATTTTACATTTACGCAAACTTTGTGTGATTAAAAAACAATTTTTAATATAAAAAAATATTCATTTATCTTTGAAAAACTTTTTTTACAAAACTATTTTAAACTAAATTAACTTAATCTAATTATTAGTAGAATTACTTTAATAAAACTTTAATCTACTTTACGTTATGACTAAATGCAGTTCTTTACAATTTTCAATGTATTTTTCTTTGTGTGTTTCAAAAAGATCATTTAGAGCATCAATAACTTTTTGATGTATTTCATCTACGTATGCAGGATCGGGATTATTATTTCTCACAACCTCAATAGGTGCACCAACTATAATAAAAAATAAAAATCATCAAATTAAATAAAAGAAATTATATAGTTAAATTAGATCCAAACAAACTATGATAACTCACCAACTTGTACGATATGTTTACGTTGTGGCAACAATCCAAAAGTATATTGGAAAAACCCACGTCCGAGCACTATTAATGGTGAAATGCCAGTGAGTTTTTTAGTTAACGACTGAAAACGTCTAAGCCACGAATCAGGTGGGTTATTAACTTGATCAAATATATCAACTTCTCCAAATGAAAATGATGGCACAATTGGGGAACTAAAGTCAAGAATATATTGTATGTATATATTGTATGTATTTTTACTTACCCTGTTCTAATAGCCAATTTAACAAATCCCTTGCGTCTTTTAAGCGTTAAAATATAACGTCCCGGGTGTGAGTCGAGTGCTTCTTGTGCTCCACCTACTAAAATAGCTACAGCATTTGATGTGAAACCGTCTTTATTATCAGGATGCTTTGGATCATTTGATTTAGTTAAATGATACATAAGTGATTCCTTAGATACTGATACAAGACCCCATAACCTTAGTAATTCACGCATAATTGGTGTAAAAAAGTGCATATCTAAAGTTCCAATTTTTGGGCGTACACCGGGATATAATTCTAACCATTTAACAATATGATTTCCCATATTATTCGAAATTCCAGTACTAAAATATTTAAAGAATTAAGTATATTAAAATATATCTACCTATATAAAATTAAATTTAAATATATAATGTAGTTTTATAAAATCAAATCCGTATATATTTTATGAGTGATATAAAAATTTTTACTTTTCAGTAATATAATATATAGCAGTGTTTCTCAACTCAAATCATACTGCGGACCTGGAAAATATTTAAGGTAAGGTAAAATATTCCATATATTCTATATATGTATGTATATATATATATATATATATGTATTTAACAATATACAATATCTAAAATAATATTATTAAAGACGATAATATTTATATTTTTATTTAATATTTTACATACCAGTGGTGCTAATGGCATGAACTAGTGGTTGAGAAACCCTGATATATAGTATGATAGTGTTGGTATTTAAGATATTCATAATTATTATCTACAAACAAAAGTATATTTTTATTAATTAATTTATTTTGGATATTATCTTTTTTAAAAAAATACAAACACGAGAAATGTGTGGTGTGTTTACTAATCGATAAGTTATCAGTTCTTATCTCTATTAGTATGTTACTATAACATTATTACTAGTAAAACTTTAATTAACAATTAATATTATAAAAACAAGAAAATAAGTAATTTATCGGATTGTAAAACAATTGTTTTTTATCTGGATGTATTATATCATAAATATTATATTTATAGAAAAGTCAAAACGTTCTGTTGGTTATAAGACAGTCCCCAAGAATGATTTTAAATTAATAATTCCTTAAAATTTTTTGAACGCTATATATAAAAAATCTAACATTAGAAGTGGATATTTGTTTTAATTCATCTATATAGATCTGATTTCGTATCCGATCAGTCAATAAAGATAATGTTTTTTCTTCAGAAAAATTTCAAAAAATTTCTTATGTTGGTACCGGTATACTAATAGATGTAGTAATGGAAAATTTAACTAATAACTTAATTAACATAGATGTGATATGTATGCTTTGACAGTTTTACTGGTGTTATAATTGAACATACTCTTGTTTTTGATTATCTTTCATAGATGGAATTAAAAAATAGTGGCTTATATTGAACCGAAACACGTCTTCTTTATTGGACCAACAGATGTACGCAATGGACGTAATGTGTTCACGTTATATAGGTCAAGATCTCTTAACTCTGGTTACGCTATTGCCAAATATTAATTTTGTTATGCTTTTCTGTTTTTTCCTTTCTGTTCTATTTCTTTATAAATAAATACAGTATTATCTCATAACTTATCTGATCTATAGATACTTTGATTAAGTCTTGATTACCATGATAATACTTTATAACTCCTTATTTAATATAAATCCAAATATGAGTGCAGTTTTCACAATATAACTAAATAATATTAAGAAATGTGTTTCGAGACATAATTATTGAATGGATTAGATTAGATTATAATAAATAATTACGGTCAGGAGCTTATCTGCAAAAGGGGGTTCGGCTTAGTTAAAGTGAAGTAACGTGATTCTTACTGTTTATGGTATTGTTCCGATTTGCTATACGAATTATAACAATATTCTAATTTATAATTTTTAAGGATTAATGAAATTAGCTAAAATTTTATTTGGAATTGATGAAATTTTTATAAAATTCGAGTTTTAAAATAATATAATAGAACTACATCTCGGTCATGGTATTGTATATATTATTTAAATTTATTTCTTTTTTATATTTAATTTTTACATGTATTTAAATTATTCTGTCATTTAATTACTGGAGGCATTTGGAAGTAATAAACAAATATAATTCGTCATATACTATATTTTGTATAATGTCTATAAACTAATGTATGTGTTTACGAGGGCCGTCACTTTTAATTTAAAATGCGGTTATTTAAAAAATAATATTTTATTATATTTTTAAAATGCGGTTAATAATATTATTTATTATATTATTTTTGCTTTAAACAAATAATGACCAAACATGCGGTAAGTGCGTTAGAAGTCCCTTCTTTTTATAGAATGATCAAATTTTAATATTAAACAATAATTCCGAAACTGATGCGAGGACGAAAAGAAACAATTTCAAAGATACAAGGGTTCAAATAAAAATGAAAAGACAATAACAAAAATTTTAGTTTATTTATTGAAGTTTAACTGACCATACAATGCTGTTTCCAGTACTGCTAAACACTCATTATAGGTGGTTTTAGGAAAAATTCGAATTTTTTAATAAATGTGAGCTAAGTTGGACATTAACTGCTTGCCTGAATAAAGTTGGTGGATGTTGAGCATTAATTGCTTATATGAATGAAGTTAGTGGATTACTTAATAATTGATTTGATTCATTTTAAGTTTTTTTTATATTTATTTTTGCTAGCAAGTATATATCTTTATAAATTATTAAAGACATTAAGTATATTTTAAAATTCAATTAAATTAAAAAGTTTGTTGACTATCTATTCAACAACAGGGAGTTATATTGATTGTGGAGTAGATATAATTAAAAGTTATAAAATTTATAAATATTAATAATAAAATTAATTTAATTAAGAATAAATAAGTCCAGTGAAATCGTTCTTTTAAGATTCAATTTAATAAAGCAATTATATGCAGCTAGAAATCAAATTTCTCCTAATTTAAAATACCGAATGGTGTTTTTTTACTTCCATAATTTTTGACATTTTATTTAATATATCTATAATTTTTGATTATTATTTATATATATATATATATATATACTTATATATATAATATATATTATATATATATATATTACAAATTATATAATATATTTTTAGGATTATATATTACTTAATTAATATTAATAACACGAGTTCAAACGTATACAAATGCAATGTCAAAATCAATGCAAGAAATATATATACAGTATTTTTATATAATATTTTGCTGAATATTCTATTAGCAAACTCTACATTATCTACAAATACTAAACATAATCATAAAAATTTGAAACTTACCCAATTATGCCATGCGGAAAACTGGCCAATATATAATTTCGATCAGGAGTCAATTCAGCGGTTTTAACCAATTCAATTGGAAAGTAATCTCGAAAATGTTTCCATATAAAATTACTGCGCAAAAACATCCAACTAAAAGTAACACGATACTATAGAATTGATGATAATTTAGTTAATAAAGGATTAAGATTACCCATTGCCATCAATAACGCTGTGCCTTCTGGTATGATCGAAATAAACGTAGGTGAGATAAGCAAGAGTTAAGAGCCTCAATAAAAAATTGCCGTAATACTGCCATAAATCAAAAATATCAAGGTGAGCAAAATTTCAGCAGTTAAGCAGGTCTAATGAAACTTACAAGCAATGCTGCAATTATCAGCATCGAACAGAACGGCAATGCGAAGAATATCATTACATACAGACCGGCGGCTAAAGTTTGTATGCGACGGCGAGGTGGAATTTTCACGGGCGCCCACTCGATTTTCATTTTACGAAATTTAGTTTAAAATTAAATGATTCAATTAAATAATTCAATTAAATAATTATAAAAAACAAACGTTCAATTTAAACGTTTAATGAGATCAGAACGTGTTGAATAAAATGCGTGATCACCACTCCACGTTGAAAGCACTACTAAATTCTTCACCGGCGAGTCTAACTAACGTCATTTAACTGATTTCGTTTTCGATTTTATTGCAAATAAAAGTGCAAACTGAACACAGAAACTCACTCGAAACTGATTTCTTCGATTACACCGATAATGCCTAGTTCATGATACGGATTGGTGGATAGCACCGCTTACTTAAGAGCCAATGTTTATTATGTTTGTCTGAAGATAACTGTAGTGATATCACCGATATTGCCCATTATCATTATCACAAAAGTAAAACACTAGTTTTGCTGCGCTGCAATTGTGTTCGCGTACTGCAGAGCAGCACGGAGCAAATATGTACATAAATTTGTAATTTGTGCGCTTGTCGAAATCAGAACGTTGCTAACGTATCAATTCTAAACTGAAACTACTAATTTTAAACTCTTCGCGCTCACAAAACAGCGAATCACTTCGTTTGGATACTAAAATATAAAAATGTGAACAATCCAACACATTCAATTCACTTTCGTCGCAAACACTAAAAACACCGCCAGATTCGAATATATATACAGAACGCTTGCAATGTTAATACGGAGCGCGGCATTTGAATTTATTTACTAATTTAAAATGAACAGAGGCGTTCTAAATGAGGTACGAGTATATAATTTGTTCTAATCATAATATATATTATTGCAGAGAGAAAGGCAAAAGATCACTTTTCTCTCTGAACAGTACAGATAGATACATGAACATTATTTAATAATGTGCAATAATGATTATTATACATTAAATAGATTTGCTATTGAGACTCCACTTAGATCCCTTGGATCGTTGTGGTTCCGTATAATTTTTTGGAGGGTATCAACACATAAGAGGTGCAGAAATAAATTTACTAAACATTTTAAAATACCATAAAAAAATTTTGTACTTACACTATGTTCAGACAGTCAAATTTCCTTAATTTCGTAAAAATGAAATTAAGTTAATTTCGAAGGTGTTCATACTGCCCCAAATTAAGGAAATCATATGTTTTTTCTTTACAAGTCGTATGTTTGCTTCAAACACCAATTATATCTGGGAAATTTTAAAAGTTAATTATTATAATTATAAAAGATGGCTTTCAGTAGTTTTATTAACTTTAGTGGACTTTCGGTATTTGAATTACTACTTTTAACACTACTTTCAAAATATTTCCCGGTTTTATTAAAGTCAACTGTGATTGACATTTATATAAAAAAAGTCCCTTTTTCGTTATCTCAACTTTATCTTCTGCTAAAAATTTATCTTACACATAGTTGCATTCGAAATGTCTCTTAATTTCAACCCTCGTTTCAACAAAATTGAGGACATTTTAAGGTTAATTTTAACCTCAAAACTCAATTTTATGTGGAAACAACAACTTAATTTCGCTGAAACGAAGATGAAATTAAGATTTTTGCGAAATTAAGGTGTGTCTAAACAAAGTATTAGATAATTTTTTCTATACTTGATAAATTCACCACCTTGAGAATTTGTCAAGATTTTGGTATTCTGTGCTTTTAATAAAAAGCTCTTTTCTTGATAAATTGTCAAGTTAACAAAAGCTCTTGTATTATTTGTACAAAATATTGTACAAATACAAAATTAATGATATGCAGAATAATATTCAAAATAACATAATTATTGAATTTATAATTATTTATTAAAATATTGTACAAATATAACAATAGTTATAAAATAAAATATAATAAATTTTATAAAAATAATTATGATAAAATTCTAAATGGCGTTTTGAGTTTTGAGTTATTTATATGCATAATATAATAGTAAGGACGTGTGCCAGTTAGGCTAAGTTGCGTTCTAAATGAGGGAAATTCTAAGTTGTGGCGATAATGTAACATAGTGATGTGTCGATACATGCTGATAAATGGCTAAATGTGTGCTGTGCAAAAAATCTCTCATTTGGTTTAGCATCAATTTACCCTAACTCGCACACGTCCATAATAACTAACCCACAAACTACTCTTGATTTTTGTATACAAAACCCTTTTCACCGCAGTGTGGTGAAAAGCACTAGGCATTTGAGCTTTGAAATTTATCAAGATTTGCATAGAATCTTGAAAAAAGCGTTTTACTTGATAAAAATCTTGAAATACGTTTTTTACTTGATAAAAAACTTGATTAATTGTCAATACTTGATAAATTTTAATTAACCACATAGTGATAAAATGCTTTGCTCAAGCAAGAATAGCAATTTCTGGAATAAAGTCTTAATTACATAAAACGTATCTTCTTAATGTTCTTTAGAACACTTAAGTTGTGGAGAAAGTAGTGATCGCATGCTGACATAATGAGAGACTGCCATTTGAGATCCAGTAATTCCGAAACCCTACTCGTGTAGGGTCACACAAAGCGTTTATTAGAAGATGAAATAGTAAAAATTACTGATAACAAATATAAAAGAAAATTGAATTGATGAACAATGTAATGAACGTTTGGAAATTTAAAAAATTTGGTTAGCAACAAACAGATATAATATAAAGCCAGAATAATTCAATTCTTTGTGAATTATAGTATGGAGTGAATGAACACTGTAAATAGAACTCTAGATCAACATGATTCTAACATTGATTATTAAAGAAGCATTGACATCAATAGATTGAACTAACATATACATTTTGATCGTTTAAATAAAATTGAATTTGAAGAAGCACTTAAAATGGATTAAATTAAATTAATTATGAAGTCTTATACTATTTTTACACCTTAACCAATACATTTGATTAATCATAAAACAAAAAATTTTTCCAAATTAAGTTGTTTGCCTTTATTAAAATAAATTGTCTCCATCACTGTGTTGACTTTGTAAGATCCGATAGTTGCATTTTAAATCTATGTTTTCAATAATGTTTATTTTACTCAACCTTTGGTCGTCGTTGATTCATAAAATGTTTAGTGCTATTGTGAGTACTTTATACGATCAGAACTCCAGTCCAAGAATGTTGTGTGATAAGCAAGTTTTGGTGAAATAGTTTCGAAATATTTTTTTGTTACTGACTGAGTCTAATCTGCAAAATCAAATTTTTATAAAATATCAAAATCTTCAGTCAATAAGTATATAAATTATATCATGCATAATATATATTATTAGTTGATTGAAAATACAACAGTATAGTAGCAGAGATATAGTCATGAGAATACAATTGTTTTTGGATTATATGCGGACCAGAACAGATAGTGAGTAAATGTTTTTTGCCTAGTCATTTTTATTTCATATAAATATATTTATTTTTACAAAATATATATTATAAAATAAACATTTATTTATGACAGGTCAGTGTTTGTAGTTGTCTTGTCATGGTACTTTTACTTTGTCAGTTAGTTTCTTTAATCAATTTTATATTTATTAGTTATGTCTCGAACAGAATAGATTATTTATCAACTAATAATTGATAAGCAATTTCAACAAATAAATGTAATTGTATTCCTAAATAGTTCCTAACCGATTATATTTATTTTTATCTATATGAAATATAAAACTTTCCATTTTGATTAAACTTGAATAACATTGTTCTCTCTTAGGTATTTTCTATTTGATTTTACTTCCATTAAGAACGTATGTAGTACTTTTATTCCTAAAAACTTTTTCTAATATTTATTATAAATAATATTTTTTTTACTAGGACACATTATATATTGCTCGTCCGTCATTAAATATGGATAGATCATGAGAATTAAAATATTATTGTAGATGTTTGCTTAGCTCTGATATAATATGGATTGGTCATATATATTAAAATTTAATGAAAATTAATGTCCTCATTTTTACTATTAGCTAAGATATCGGTGCTTGATTAAAATCAATTGGTGTGTGTTGAAGACCATTATCATTAAAAATCATTACTCATTGGAATACTGTAAAGTTTGTCAAATTTATTGATCTGTTCTCAAACATTTTTGAAAAATATAATAAAAGTTCCCAAAGACTCCAACTACTTTGTGTTAAATTCTGTAGAAATTAAAATGTATACAGTTTGTTTTTTCGAAATGTCTTATAAAGTTTGAGATGATCCATTAGTTTAAGAATCGAAAACAATCCTCAGTGGCATCATGACAGTGGGATTTCATTTCCTATATTTTCCTATTATAACCTAGTACGCAAGAAGAATGTTGTAATGAGATTTTTCGGAGAAAAACTGTATCATCAATTAAACAGTATGTGACCTTATTAAGTCATATTACCAGGATTTGACAAAAGTTCGCTTAAGGTGCATCTAATTACCTACCTCAACTACGTGCTACCTCAACTCGAACACTCAATCTTTAGTGAGACTTTTTCTTAAATCTGTTTTCCTTTTGATTGTGGATTCTAATACTTCCTTTGCCAAAGTATTGTCTTCAAAAGTCGCAAAAGAGATAGTATAAGGTGCATCTAATTACCTACCTCAACTACGTGCTACCTCAACTCGAACACTAAATCTTTAGTGAGACTTTTTCTTAAATCTGTTTTCCTTTTGATTGTGGATTCTAATACTTCCTTTGCCAAAGTATTGTCTTCAAAAGTCACAAAAGAGATAGTATAACCTTCTAATATTTTTACTATTTCTTTTCTTTTAAATCTATTTTCTTTAATGGATCATTAAAATACCTTTTTCGCTGTAGTATTGTTTTTGTTCGTCACCAAAAAGACGACGTATTCATCTGATGTTAACTCATTAAACAATGGCAATGTGGCGATAAACCTTATAGATCTCATTAATCATTCGGAGGTGGGAATCGTTGTCCAAGCTTAACTGTCTAAACATTTTCTAGAGAATTTTGATTGTAAACAGTCCAAATGTAACTCTTCTTCTAAATCTGTTTTGGTTTTGAATGTTCTACAAATTTGTTTTGAGATAATTTTTTTACAAAGAAAAAATATTCGTTTATGACACAGTTTATAAGTTATAACGTTTAAAAAGTTATACGTTCAATTTTATTTCCCTATTATATTAATATTCCAATAAACGGTCAATCTCAAGTTTCTTTTGCATTAATAAAACTTAATAATACATTTTATTTTTATTTTTCTAAAATGAAGATAAATTATTGAAAAAAATCAATTATCATATATACTATTCTTTAATTAAGATATAAACAACTCCCTATTCCAAAGCCAATATTCTCTTCCTTAATGCAACTCAACGCTGACAATCAGTGGCGGAGGTACCCCAACTCTGGACGTCGGCGACATTAGAATTGCGAGGCCCCCTTTATCATTCAGTTGTAAAAGTAAATAAGTTACATTCACTAATACGACAAAGCATGATTGAAAGTTTTATTGCTAATCAAATTAAAATAAACACAAATTAAAATAAATGAATTTTCCTACTTTTAGCTTCACTCAATTTTTCATAATTTGCGCCAGCTGCTATTTTCGCTTCAGTTTATAGAATTTCGAATGGAGATAGTCTCTCTTGAATCATCATACTTTTCTAGTACGTCTTAATCAATTTTAAATTTGAGAAGGTTCTTTGCGTCGAAGCTATACTGTCTGGAACTGTGAACATGAATCTGGATACTATATAAACATTCGGAAATATTTCGAATGTGATTAAAGCCATTATCAAACCAAATTTTTTGAAATATTTATTAAGTGCTTAGAATCCACAGTCGGTAACTTTTTGCGAGGCCCCTGTGGGCGCGAGGCCCACAGCGACATCGCTGACGCCTAGCGACGCCACTGCTGACAGTCTCTGTAATTGATGATATTAAAAGTCTCTTCGTAGTTTTAAATATTTTGTATTGTCTATTCGTTTAATCGATTATATATTGACTCATGTTTTAATTTGATGTGTTAAAAAATATATTGATATTGATATTCAGATGTCTGAGTTGGTGAATCAGCACCTTTACTCTATTTTATCTGTGGACAGTTTTAAGTCACACTAAATACGGGGCTTTATAATATGATGGATCTGATGTCTTTGTATCTGCCTGTGTTTATCAAATTTCGCTGTATTTTTAGGATACTGAGCACGATCTTTAATATATTTTTCAACTGAATCCACTCTCAGATCTCTGTGGATATCGGCTCCTCTTACATACCATGGGGCGTTAACCAGTTTTCTTAAGGCAATATTTTGCCCTCTTTGAAGAATTTTTAAAGTTGAGCTTGGCGCTTGGCAATGTATAATCCTTGATTGCTATAGTATTGAACTTTACTGGAAAACTCTTTATTCGGATATTTTTGGTTTAGTAAATGGGCGTGACTTATTCTTTATTATCAATAGATGAAATTTTAACTAATAACAACATTTAGCTACCGAGATTTTATATTATTAATATTAATATTAATATTCTTATATTATTAAAATATTGACTAAGACAAACATCTATCTAGGAAATCGTATACGAGTATAATACAAAGTTGCAATTGGTCAATGTTATTATTAAAATTATTATAAATTACAATAAATAATAATAAGTAAATAATAATGTTTTATATAAAAATACATAATAATTTTGCATTGTTAACAATTTTAGATGTTATGAACGTTTTCGAAACTTCATTAAAGTGACCTAAAGGACCTCATAATTTGAATAATTGAAAAATTACTAAACATCTCATAACTAACAGAAAACTTGTTGTGAAATTACATATACTATTAATAATTATTTATAATTATATTTCAGTAAACAATTTGTTATGAAAGTTTATAGCTTCAATTAAAATATGAACTAACAAGTTTTTATTATATATGGAAAGCTTACTGTAAACAAGATCTGCTCTGCTTGAGTTCATGTTTAAATGCATGTCAATAAAAACTTTAGCATTATATGGTAATTATTATAATTATAAAATGAACTTATTAATTTCCTATTTATTTTATATGCTATTTCACATATGTCCATTCAATGTTTGTTTAATTAAGTATTAATTCTATCAATTATGTCTATTCGATTCTCAGCAATATTCGATGGGAATATTTTTATAGAATATGGGCAATTTATATGGTCAGTATATATGTATATATATATCAAACATTTTGATTGGAAAAAATAAGAAGATAACAACTTATAGATGTCAAACTTCCGTTAAAAGTTATCATTCACTTTACACACCCTATTTTCTTAGAGAATTCAATGAATTTTTAATGTTTTCAATTGCTCTCTATTCCAATAACTATGGATACAAATTTTTGTTTTTATTCACTTTCGGTTGGTAAATATGCAGGTTTCAAATTTCTTTCACAGAATCACAGTATTATTTTTTAAGGAAGATTTTTTTTAGAGGTGATTTCTAGAGGTGAAGCCACGATGGCTGCAGCACTCAGCAGCTATTGTGGACATAGACAAGAGCGTCAATAGAAAAAGTGATGATGAGGCCATATTTAGAATGTCTTTGCCCCATCAACACTATAAAAGCAGCTAAGAATTTTAAATTGATAAAGTATTACAAATAAGTTCCTTCAGTTCAGTTTTCGAAGTTTAAAGAAGGATAAAGAATGTGTTAGACCCATTTTACTGTTAATTTACAGCGTACTAAATTTTTTTTGTTTACTAAGTGCTGAAACTGTTGTTTTGTTTTTTTTTTAACATTGGCTTGTTCTGCTATCTTCTTCCATTATATTCTCACCATGTTTTTACTAGTAATGGACTGAATACAAATATATATTATAGCAGTTTGCTTTGCAACTTTTCTTTTCGCTTATTATATATACTTACTCATTTGATTGGCCATTACAGTTCTGAGTCATTCTTGGTTACTCCCAATAGTCTCTATTCAGTCCGAACAGTGGCTAGCTGTCACCAATTGATAGTACCGAGTGTCTTAATAGCGTTGCTAACGTGGATGCATTTTACCGTAGATGCGAACGTTTTCTACCGCGTTTTTCACCAACGTGTACTGAATCGAACACCTTTCTAGACAGAGTATATTGTTCCATTCATGCGACATGAGCAAAGCAGCGAAGTTGCTGAATTTTTATGCGCTTAAATATGTCAAAATCGCGGTACAGCTCATGCAGGACATAGTTCTAGATATATTCAAGCCATCTCAAATGTTGTAACTTAGTATAAAGTACAATACTTTTCTAGTTCATAATTATAATGTGCTTTATACCATTTGTAATATTATATTGATCAAAATATTCTTTTTCAAACTTTATTTTATGTAATAATCGAGCACGATTAGAGACACTGAACAGACCTCCTTTTGAGTCTCTGATGAGACGGTTTAGCTGTACTGGAACATATAAACAAATGGGACATAAACTCGGTTGCTCCTGGGGTTGGTATACAATATGTTCTGACAGTTTATAGGTTCAATGGGTTGCTAAGACATATACGCACTGTCAGAACATGCATATATAAAATATACACATAAAAAAATTTTTGTAGTTAGAGCTTCTTTATTTAATAATTCAGCATTAACAATTCGAGGCAATATTTGCATACTGTATTGTATTACCAACAACATTATTTTGATTATTTCGTATTTTGGAATGCAATAAAGACTTCTTATTATCAGCTTCCAACTCAGCATGATGTGAACGTTGGCGATGCCTGTACATATTTGCGTTTGACTTAAAAGTCATTGGGCAATATGGACAAGTATATAAAATTTCACCCGTATGTGTTGATATATGTTCCTATAGATGAAAATTTCTATATTAATCTAATTTCTATATTTCTCAAATTATTAACTTACTTTTAAGTTTGTTGGTCTTTTAAATGCCTTTTCGCACATATTACATTTATACTTTCTTTCGCATTTGTGATTGAAAAATATGTGTCGTTTTAGCGCTTGAGCATTACTAGAAACCTTACTACATATTGGACAACGATGTTCTACACCGCTAGTATCATGCATTCCTAATATATGTTTTCGTAGTCCTGGAGCGTTTTTTAACCATGCATGACATATGGGACATTGTTTTGGTTCTGGCATCGGCACTGGCTCATCTGAATGTTTCATTTGATGATGTTTCTTTAGTTTAGATTTATTTCGCAGTATCTTACCACATTTATCACAAATGAAGGTACTTTCGGGATCATGTAGTTTTGCATGTTCTTTTAATTTACGCTCTGATGGAAACCTAAAAGTAAAAAATTTCAATTATCAATTAAATTAAAATTATATATTGAATACTTTTTATTGCAGTCATGTTCCGTGCAAATATATCGAAATTCTGATTCAGGTACATGGTAAGCATTAATATGATACTCCAAGGTAGTTTTAGTGGTAAGCACTTTATCACAATTTTGGCATGGATATAGTTTTTTGTTTTCTGATTTTACTGCATGCATTTCTTGGCAGTGCCTTTTAAAGGATTTTTTATCTTCGAATATTATATCACATTTAGTACATTTAATAGTATTTTGTTCAATTTTATAATCGACATTCCGAAAATGGGTTTCCACATGTCTTCTTCTTCTTTTTGTTATTAGAGATTCGTTTGTGCTTTCTTTTAATTTTCGTTTATCAGAACAGACTTTTGTGCGTTCAGAACGTTTTTCTGATTTTATTACTTTTCTTTTCGTAGAAATAATGTTTTCTTCGATCACTTCAACATTCGGTAAAAATTCTAGTTCGTTCACTTCAACTTTTATTTCTAAAATACATATTTGTATAAATTATTATATATTTAAAAAAAGAATCAATAATACAAACCTGTATGGAAGTCATTTTTCAGCAATTCCTCTTTTATATCAGTTTTATCTTCAAAATTTGGTTCAACATTATGTGGCAACGGATCGGTTAACCAAATGTCAGCAGAAGGTACGGATTCTAAATAATTGTGTACTTTAGCGACATGCAGGTGGAATTCATGGAACTCAATTAACTTATTCCAACAGGCATAACATATTTGTTGTTCCGGATGCAATAGTTTATTGGGCTTTGAAAATATTCAATTATTATTTCTCGACTTTAATTTATTTATTCAATACCTTTATCCAAAAATATTTGCAAATTATGCTCTCAATCTCTAATTCAACACCTTCTGCTGAGAATATTTCCATTTGTTTATGCATCAGTTCTTCTAGACATAAAATACAGGCTAACATATTATCAGCAATTGTTGTCTGTTTAAAATACGTATTTTTAAGGTTATTATTAATAACAATTTTAAATAATAAATTTATTGATAAAACAACTTACACACTTTCTTAACAAACTATATTATCTATTGTTGCTATATGACTTCTACATAAGTCTGTTGTTTTTAATTGCATCAGTTAATTTTAATTACAACGTTCATTAAATAGGTATTTCAAACACATAATATTGCACATTTAACGTATTAGTTTCTAACTTTGTTTTGATTGTTAAATTAAGCGTCAAGATAAAAGGAATGTTAAAAATATTGATTGGTGCGACCTCTTCAGTGTTTTTTTAAATTTTTTAACTACTTTGATTTCATTTACACAGACCGATATTTTGGAGAATATTTTTTTGTAACTTTAGCCGAGAGATTTATAAAAGTAGCAATGATAAATCTATATAACATAACAATGTGATTAAATTTAATTAAAATTAATAATTATTAATAAAGGGTTATGTTTATGTTATGAAATCAATAATTTGTCACTAAATACTTATTTGCATATAAGGCTTACTCAATGTGGAATTCATTACATATACATATAGCCAGTAATTTATATTAACTTCAAAATTATTTTAAAATAATTAACTTACAATTATCTTAAAAAATTTTATATGTAAAGCACTAACTAACTAGCTTATTTCGATCTCCTTTTTATGTCATTTTTACATATAAAATACTAATTTTAGCAAGTTGTTAGAAATTAGTAAGCAGTATACAAGTAATATATAAAATAACTATTCATTTTACTATTTGTACATAATTACTACTATAAGATTAAGCAGTAATTACATATTAATTATAACACATAAATATTAAAAAAAATTAGCTAAATTTTCGAAACACCTTTAGGTAAAAATAACAATAAAAATAACTTATGTAGACCATTTTAATTGCTTTTATAAAAATTTAGAACTACATTCGAAGTATCACACATGCTTTTGGGGAAATATTTAATATATCTCCAGGTTGTAATTAATTCAAACATTGAAAATGTCTACATTATAAGGTCCTACGTATATACCGTCGGTAGTTATCCTCAGAATACTTAACATATTCATTTTGTGCTTTGTTCTATTTTGTTTTTGTAATTTACAAAATTGCTATATATTAATAAGCTGGTCGATGATGTTTGTGAAGTTTTAAATCGCACTCGATGGAGTGCTGGAGTACTACCTATGTACGTGATCAGCACATTGAGCCATTGATATTTGTGGACAAAGTTTATAGCTTTCATACAAAGTGTCCTAACTGAAATTAATTTATAAGACAATCAAGGACATACCCTATATTCTCTCTGATACTGAAAAAAGTTTACTCAATAATCGTATTGAAGTCTCCACTAAAATTGACGAACGCAGCAGATGTGCTCTAAAAATATGGCACAATAAATAAAGGGCGTAACTAACTACTAAACAACTAAATTAAAAAAAAACTTAAGATCCGTTTATTAAACGTGGTACATACTTCAAAATGTTAGACTTATTTTTCAGAGCTAAGACAAAATATTGTCACATAAACATAAAATACTCATATACAAAACCTTAATAACGCCTAGTCTAACCCATTAATAAATATTGCTTGGATTAATTTCTTGTTAGCGAATATTGTATTATTGGCATGCACACAGGTAGATAACCCATTTTTGTATCAAAACAATACAACACTTGTCTGACGTTTCATTCAAAACAGATATAGTACGCAGACAGAACACAAGTGAGAAAGTTGCAAGCTGTATACGTTTTAAGTGTTGAAAATATTAAATTTCAATTTTTTTATAAATGCGAAGAATTAATATTTTACTGTTTTTATTAAAGTGACTATCAAAAAAAGTTACTTACGAATTATTGAACTTTTTTCGCGTATTTGTACATGGATTGCCAGTTGGCAAGTCTATCCTATGAAGGCGAGCCATTCGTGATTTGGTATTCGTCAAAATATTTCGCCTCTCCTAGTTACCGCCAAAAATATAAAATTTATATTAAGCAATTAATGTTAATATGGAATGCCGCGGTGTAAGTTATTTTTTTAATTTCTACAAATTATAAATATGTTTTAAGTGTTGAAATTTTAATTTTTTAAAAAATAACTATGCGAAGAATTAAGGCTTTACTGTTTTTATTAAAGTGACTGTCCAACAATTTATATACGAATTACTAAAATTTTTTTCCGCGTAACTTGTACATGGATTACCAGTTGGCAAGACTATCATCCTATGAAGGCGAGTCATTGTGATTCGGTATTCGCCAAAATATTTCGCCGCGCCTTATTACCGCCAAAAATATAAATTTACTATAAAGCAATTAATAATTATGTAAAATACTACTGTGTAAGTTTGTTTTTTAATTTATATAAATTTAATCAATTGTATTTTTATTTTCTTATATATAGAATTAAAATATATTTCTAATTAAAGATATTATTTTAAATTAATTAACTTTTTTCAAATTGCTTTATTGAAAATAATTTTTGATGATGGCAATAATAGCAAACTACAACGAAAATGCAGAAAATCCACGATGCTTCATGCTGCCGATTAGTATTGATTCGGATTTGGTACGACAAATGTGTGAAGCGGAATTCCGTAAAGCAGTAAAGTAAAAAAAAATCTATTAACTGTGTGAGCAATGAAGCACACCTAAAATTACAGAATAATGCGCATTATATTAGCGTGTTTTAATTATATTTTTTAGAAACTATTCAAAATATATAATTGATAAAATTTTATATAATTTTCTAAACAATATTGTGGTAAAATTGTTGTTCGATGTGACGCTTAAGAGTGGAAAATTCGTGATTAAAAAAAGTCGTCTGAGGTAGGTAGAGAAATAATTAAACGAGCTATGAATGGAAGATTTCGTTCGCTTCGTTTTTATATTCAGTGTTGTATTTTTGTGTTTATTAAACAAAAAATACTTTTACATGTAATATATACGTGAAAATAATTAATATTCTAATAAAAAAAATGATATTAATTTTTATTATCGAATTACATTATTTCAGTAATGTATATATATCCATATATAATTTGCTACGAATACTGAAAGTTTTCTAACTTCATATATGTTTTCAATATGGCCGCCAACCGATTAAAGTAGTGCTGCAAATTATATATGTGTAGATATTATCGGCTTCTTCGTTCTTCCTTCTTTTTCATTCTACAAAGTGATGACATTCATCAATAGTTGAGAATAGTGTTCTAATAAATTAAAGTGCAGAATTCGCGAATTAATATTTGCTGAAAGAAAGAAGGAAAAAAAAATTATATAAATCTCATTTCCGGTTGTTATAGCGCAATTTTTAATTTTTTGTATTCAAAAAATATATGTCAAATGTGAATATTGAGTAAGTGGCATCTCAATAAATAAAGAATAAATTTAAATTTTTCTTTAAAAGATTTTATAGTTGCGTTATTAATTTTAAAGAGTAAATAATTTAATAAAGTGAATTATTAAGAAAATTGTTATATAAAATTAAGAGATTTTTTTTTTAGTTTAAATAGTGTTCAACTATTTATTTACTTGTTTGATTTCTTTAACAAAAGTTAATTCAATTAGAAAATAGATAAATTGTGTGAGTTCAACAATTAACAGAATAATTTAAAAAAAAAATTCAAATTATTGTGGTATTACCAATAATTTTATATAAATTGCATGGTTGTATTTCACTGTAAGTTTCTTTTTCTGAATGTTAAGTTATCTTTTAGGCCGTGTGCAAGTAAATTGAAGTAGAGTAAATTAAAATTTCCTATGAATATTTTGCACTGCACTTATGTAAATATTTATTAAATTATTTATTGCACCTATTTATTATTTTTGGTTAAAAGTTTTCAAATTTATTTATTAAACTTCTTTTAAAATTTTATGGTAATACAAATTTACCTAATTTTTATCTAATTTACCCTGCTCGAAATTTTGATAAATACTCACTGCCATACCGACATAATTTGCTCTTTCCCTCAATTTACTCGAACTCGGCCTTAGTATAACAAAAGTAATAATTATGGACGTGTGCGAGTTAGGCTAAGTTGATGCTAAACCAAATGGAAAATTTTTTGGTATTTTTTGCACTGCACATATTTAGCCATTTATCAACACGTATCGACACTACACTACATTACCGGCAGAACTTAGAATTTCCCTCATTTAGAACGCAACTTAGCCTAACTCGCACACGACCTATATTTAATTAAATTAAATAACTAAAATAAATTAAAATAAAGTGGGCAGTTCTAAAATTTACTTTTTAATGTGGACACATTTCTTATTAATATTATTTATATTCATCCATATTAATTTTTTATAAATTCACGGCAGATTTAATATAAAATTTTAATATATACATATATATATATATTTGTAATATAAATATTATATTAGTATTTTTAATATTTTTAATTAAAAGAAGTTTTTTTTTACACTATGCACTGTGTATACATTTTTTAAAACAATTAAGGATTGCTATGATGATTCACATATAATGATAATTTTTTAATATTACTTAATATTATTTATTCAAGGTTTTATTATCAGACAAAATATCTAAGACCTCAAAAACATAGAAATAGTTTAAGTTATTCTTTAATTTCTCCCGACTATATAAACGACATTAAAAGGTAAAATATAATATTGTATTTTAGTACTTTTGAATTGGCATAGATTCACAATATATTGCTAACTTATTTTCGAAATAGATGTTCCAGCTGAACACTTCAATATTATATAATGAATAAAGTATATGCCAGTATATGTTGTATATCATTCTACACAGAAATCAATTAAATTTGGCACAAACCAATAGTTCTGCTTTATTTTCTCATTGATCATGTTAATGAGTAGATATGAGAAATAATTAAAAAAGTTACTACAGTCTATGAGGTCTTGTAGTAATACTATAAAGCAGGTATATCAAGTCTGTAATAATTCAAGCATATATGTTATTGTTGTATTTGTAGTTCGTAGAGATTTATACATGAGGAAACATGAAAGGAATTATAAATACGAGGATAAGGATATGGTTAGGTGTAGATAGAGTGAAAAGGTTTTTTTTAGGAAAAAGTATGGATAATTGGTGGTTGGATTTAAATTAAACTAGTCTCTGTCAAGGAGGAGAGAACAAGCTTTTAATCTGTCGCACTTAAGTGAATAAGGTTCAAGTTAGTGCGCGCATCAAAACACAACACATAGGCGCCGTCATTTGGAGTAGAGCTGCAGCATATAGTACATTGGAAATTGCGTATTAATGCGTGACTTTCCTGTTTAGCAAATAACTGTTAGGATGTGGCTATATTCTGAAATGAGACTTGAATAATTTCTACTGCATGAGGAAGTCGTCTCTCGGCCTTAAATATATCATAAATCGAATAGGATACTGCAATTGTATAGGTGGCACGTTTGTATTTGACCTCATTGATATTATCTCCATTACAATAGGTGTTACAATATGAATTAGTGTAGAGAGGATGCTTTATGGTTTGAGTTACCAATGGAATGCTCATCGACATGGCACTTAGACAGCAGTTGATTATGCTCTTTTACAATATGCATTTAGGGCTAAGCTTTAAGATGGTCGATATATGATTAAAGCCAGTAGAATTCTGCAGAGCTGCATTTTGACTTGGTTGACTGTTAATCCATTGCGTCTTCCAAAGATATGAGGTACATACTGCAGCAGCTTACGCTGTACTAAGAGTTATTTTGACTTCGTATGTGTTCAGCTGAGTTTCTTTGTCTTTCTCGAATTGAGACTTTTTTTGTGTGCTGAAACGGTAATAGAAATTGAAAGTGATGAGTATAATGTTTAGAAATTCAGAGAAATCGGACAATTATATATTAATTCGTTTGAATTGTCATAGAGTGAAGTATTTATTTACGGTTTACTTTGGGTCCAGATTTATGAATATACCCTAGTTCATGTGTACATAGGATTGCACTTGAACGCGTACATATACAGGGTTAGGCGATTGAAGTGTTACAAACTATCCACAGGTATATCTGTTACCACTAGCATTTCCGTTTAAGTTTTATAAAATATAAAAGTTATATTTGACTGAAAAATTTCAACCATTTATTGTTCGTTAGCTCAAACAAAGTAAACTCAAAGTGAATAAAAGTTTTTGTGTCGTAACATAAATCGTTAAAATAGTACAGGCAGCGTCGCCAAACGCTATGGTGGTAGACAAAAAGAAACATAAACATCACCTGAAATGGTTCGAAAATTAAGTCTCGACTTAAACGAAATCCACGTCGTAGTGGTAATGAAATGACCAATAAACTGAAAACATCCCAGGGAATAATACGACTCATATTCCAAAATGAGCTAAAGGTAAAGTCTTACAAGTTCCAAAAGGCACAAGATCTTACACTAAAGCAACAAAAAGTTCGACACGAAAGAGCAAAGGCGTTGTTACGTTTGCAAGAACGTGGCGTATTTCCAAACATTGTGTTCTCTGATGAGAAAAATTTCCCCATTAAGTAGTTCATAAACTCTTAAAATGATTGTGTATATTTAACTGAACGCAATGTCGAAAATTTGAGACTACGAATGGTCACCCGAAGTAACTTTCCATAATAAGTAATGGTATAGGCAGTTCCATTTGGGTCGTTTTGGAAAACAAGGTGAGGTCTAAAAAATATGCCAGTATGGGTGCGTTAAAGAAAGCCATTGTTCATGAATGGGCTAAAATACCGGAAGATCACTTTCGTGAAGCATCCAACTAATTTTTTTTAACCGTTTGAAGGCTATAGTAAAGGCAAACGATTCTGAAATTTTGATTATCTCCACAATTTTGTAATTTGAATCAACAAAAAATAATTTCACACAAAAAGATATGGTCGTCGCTTAAATAGGTAACACTTCAATCGCCTAACCCTGTATATAATGTATACAAATTTCATAAATGTTATTCGGGAACAAAGGCGCATAGCCCAGTGCTAGAACAGGCAATTAGTTCTCTAGCGGAGACAATATGTTTTTATTAAGTTTCGTATTTCGTAAACAAATATGGAATGTTAACGTAAATACAAAAAACAATATAAAATTCACATATCGTCTACGTCGCATTATATGAAGTTTATTGTTTTATAGTTATTTAGATGAATTCATTCAATTTTAAGTGGCCTATCGAGTACACATTCTATGTTTTTGTTGTTGGTTTTTACTTTAAGAAAGCTACACAATTTTATAAATAAGAAATGAATCAGAGACAGCTTTGTCTGCTTATCGCAGTTACGTTGTTACAGATTATCTTTCTTTCCACGTAGATCTGACCCCACAAAGTTTTGCTTTACTTAATGAGAAATAATAAATTTCTAAGTTGTTTTTGCGGAAAATATTAGGCATTTAAAAATAATAATAATTATAATAACATAATTTAAGCTGTTAATGACAGATATTTCGAGATCTGTTTTGTCTCTGCCAAAAAAAAGGTATATATATTTAAATATATAACTAAATTTTAGATATTGGATATTTCATGGAGGACAACGAAGTCATAAACTAGAAAAAACAAATAATTTGAGCTGTTAATGAGAGATACTTGAAGATTATCGCTAAAGTGGAATATTTCCATCCTTTTTCTTTGTTTTCATAGAAAACGAAATCTGCTTTGTAGGAAGTTTTTTTGATTTAATAAAGTCAGAGAATTAAATTTGACTAAAAGGTGCTGTGAAAAACTTAAAAATTCATTCCAACATACTACATAAACTACAACATACTGCCATCTTATTTAATTATAGTTTTTGTTAATAGTATGTTCTTGAATAGTGTAACAGTCTTTACCTATATTGGTGTTATAAAAAGTATCTGCCGTTTTTATCGTATATTTTTGAACAAAAAGTTTTTTTTACTGAAAATCAATTTTAATGAAGTATACTTCGGCCATCAGCACAAAAGATCAAGTATGGTCGCAGTGCTCCGCTCTGTTGACAGCTGGTACCCAGTTTATTTCTGTTCTATACTTTGACCATTATTATTGAAGACTTTTGGTAATTTTTTTGGAAAGCTTCATAATTCCATGTGTAGAACTTATGTGGTTTACTGGCGAAAAACTTGGTCAAGTGATTTTTTACTATTAAGATAGTTTTACAGGAGCTGAAACATATGGTAGCTAGACCATGTAAGGTCAGGGTTATACGGTGGAATGTATCAAAACTTGACAACCAAAGTTTGTCAATTTCTACCAAGTCATCAAATATGTGTGTGGTTTGTCATTGTCATCATGAAACACAACTTCACTTTCGGTCGTTTTTTTATGGATGTTTCGTTCAAGTGATCAAATTATATAAACACTGTACGACTGAATTAACTGTGGAACCAGGCTGAAGCAGCTCGTATTAGTCAATTCCTTTCCAGTCCCTCCTAATACTTAACATAACCTTATTTGTCGTTATTTCAGACTTTGATATCGTTTGTGAAAGGTTACTGGCTTTCGTTGATGATGAATTAAAGTGTGTGTCAGCGACGTTTCACTAACGGTAAATCAGTCAATAGTTATTTTTTGTTTTAATTCGTGTGGTCACAATTATCGATCGTTTTTATATAGTCTGCTCTTCTTAATCGTTTTTCAATTGTTATGTGGTTGACGTTTAATGTGTACACTTTATTCTGACAACTTGTGCCACCGCTCTTATTTGTCACAATAGGTGAAAGAGTTTACACATTCAATTTCTTCTTCACCATTTATATGCAACCTTTCATTTTGAACTGCACAGTATCCGTTTGCCATACTTTTTGTATGTTCAGTACTTATCCTTAAGTCGGCAGACTATGTTTTTTCGTTTATGGCGGATATCAACTGTTGTAATTAATCAATTCTGTGACTGCAGGACAGCAGACATCATCCGCGAATTCTAGATCTTGTACACACTCAAACAGTCCCCATTGGATAACCCTGGTATTTTTTAATGCTCTACTGAGGATATCATCTAGCGCGATAATGAAAAGTAATTGTGTCAGTATATACCCTTATCGCACATCTGTTTTGATGTCAAAATACTCAAAGAATTGGTTTTTGTAGATCACGCGACACTTAGTATTCTTCTTACAGCTCCCATTCAGAAGGTTTATAAATTTTTCTGACATTCCACTGTTCGTGTTTGTTCGGTTTGAACTGTCAAATGTTTTTTTGAAATCTAGAAGGCTATATAGATGGTAGCTCTTAATTCATTTATCTACTCGAACATAATGTGAATTGTATTTATCAGATCAGCGCATGATCTATTCTTACGAAAGCCATGCTGGTTTCGTCTTAAATTTGCTGTAGAAATTCTATATAGTATAATTGCAGTGAAAATCTTCTTCGGGTCCGGTAATAAGCTTATTCTTCTGAAGTTATTGCAATCACTTGCATTAAAATCTTACCGCCCATATCTTATTCATAAGAAGCCACCATATATCAACAGAAAATGAGACATTGCATTTTAGCAGTTCTGCGGATATGTTTTTTGCGTCGGGAGTTATTTCTCATGGATTATTTAATATTTCTTTGAAGTGCTCAGCCTGGTGTTGTGAATATTTTTATTTGATTTGCATAGCAATTTTAATGTTCAATAACGGTTCTTGACAATGCTTCTTCACAACGTTTATATGTACACAAAATCAGTAATACATTTACATTAATAAATAAAATAAAATTATTTTGAAAATAATTGTTTAAATGTTAACTATAATATTTTAATTTATAATAATACACTTCGTTAAAATGCTTTATAGTCAAAAGTGTACGCAAAAGCACTCTGTGTTACTATTACACATTTTAGTAAAACAATTTGTAATTTTGCAAAATTAATATACAAAAACTAAATATTGCTGAAGGATCTTTACATTTTGATCTTAAGTAATATTTATTTGTGATAAATAAATATTTGGGTTATGATATTTATTCAAATGCCTTCTCATGTAATCATTCAATGGCAAGAGCACTCTGTGTTACTATAAAAAAATCGAGTAAAACAATTTGTAATCTTGCTATAAAAATATGCAAATGTAGCTTTATGCAGATTTGCTGAAATTTTTGCTCTTCTGTGATAATATTTTGCAACAAAATTTGTTAGATATTCAATATTTTTAAAATAAAATTATGTATATATTTTAATAATATATTTCGTTAATCTTTTTACAGATGCGTCAAACATGAATGAAGGTGAGTCAGCAGGAGGGGGGCATCAAGGGCCAAACCCGGCCCCTCCTGCTGTGCTAGACCGCAGATCACCTTTACCGAATTTAAATTTAATAATTAATAGAAATAACAGTCAAACCAGAGCAGTATCGCCCTTGGTGACTGGTATTGATACCAATACATTATTACCAACGGTTGGCCGAAAAAGCTATCATCAAGCTTTTACACAACAACAGCAACAGCAACAACAACAGCAACAACAACCGGAACAAAGTCAACAAATAATTAACAATAATATAACCAACGCTCAAACAGCAGGTGTAGCGATACAACAAAAGCAAAAACAACCGGTGCATATGCCGCAGACGCCTTCATTAAGGTTTTCTACAGCGGGTTTCAATTCGCATCAAGTTTCACAGCCGTCCGGATCTGTAGTGACCGTAGGAAACACGAAGTCCAAAGAAAAACGAATTGAACTTGAATCGATAGACGAAACCCCGCCGTCTAATAAGCGCCTAAGACTGGAACCAATTACTGAAAGTGTAGTTGGTAGTGCTAATAAAAGTAACGTTCTTTTATCATTGCTTCCAACAAGTGAACATATTTTAGAAACTAAGAAAGAAGAATCTGCAGCACTATCAAAACAATATTTGTCCACAATACCACCAATACCAGACAACACAAACATTAATAATTTATTAAGTGAATTTACAAATATTTTAGTAGAAAGGTAAAATATAATTCAATTATTGAAAAAAAGTATGATATTTAAAATAATTTTTAAAATTATTTATTCTTATAGTTTTACTGAAAATGTTTTCGAGTTATATGCAATGGTTACAGACGTCGTAATAATGGACGAGACGTTTCGTGAAAAACCAATTCCACAGTTGATCACCTTCCGGAAAGCTAATAGCATTGAATTATTGATCAAAGAAGAAAAATCCGATTTACCAGAGCAACAGGTTACATTTCAACAGACATCTGAAAGTATTGCAAGTACCATTGGAACTGGAACAAGCAACAATATTCATGTACAACCGCCGCAGTTACAACAAATTAAACGTTCTGAAAGCCCTGCTACAACATCAATTAATAAAACGGTTTGTGCGAAGATTTTTAAATTAATATATACGCTTTTGAATTTATAAAAATATTTAAAAATGATGACGTAATACACAATTGATAAGCGCATTTGATCTATTTTTGAAAAAGTGTGCTTTCTAGTGATTTTCGCTATTGCGAGGCATTTGTCTGATTATAATTACAAAAAAAACAAAACGCAAAAACAAGAAAAACATGACTAGTTATATTTTTACTTATGCCAATATTGTATAAGTAGACGATATTCTTTCTTTTTTTTGATGTATATATCATATATGAATATTATTAGTTGTTTTAGTGCCTTTCGGTTGTTTGTACTATATTCTAAAATGCGAAAAAATCCGAAAAATTCATATAGATAATTTGCTAAACTTACAAATAATATAGTTTCTTAAAAAAAAAATCAATTTTCAAAATTTTTTAAAAGTTTTATGAATATAATATACAGGAAAACTTGATTGACATAATCGTGTTCTTATACAAACCTAATGTATGTAATAAGTTTATCAAATTCGAACTCTTTATCAAATGTTGTTGTAGCCCTCTGAGATCTGTAAAGCAGATAAGATGTAAGGTTTACATTGAAAGACGAATATATTGTTTGGGATGTGGTAAGGGGAGGGAGAGATGGAATAAAGCAGCAGGAGTGGATATAAGGTGGGTGGGAATTTCAGTTGAACTCCTGGGTCCAGGCGGAGAAATCTGAGAATGGGTCCAAAGGTCAATTGGAAGAGGGTGTGTGAACGAAGAGGGCCAAGAGAACAGATGGGCGACATAATAAAAAGTATTCATCTTCATCGCACTAACATCCTTATTGCTATACATTATATGAAGTAAATTATTACTTTTATGATATTTTTTTTTAATCATAAAGTCAGTTTCGATGTAGTGGATACTTCAGGAAGATTTTTGTTACAGGCCATTCCTGTGCCAATGTACTTATAGTACAGGGAATAAATTTACTCATAGAGATTTTCTTGTCATCAAAACAGTGTATATTTTTATTCGTTCTTTTAATTTTTTTTCACTTTTACTTTTTCTTCTGTTGTTTTATTCTTTATTATTCTTTATGCCAAAAGGGTTTGATTATCATCATTATTTAGTTCTATAATATACATTGTTAGGTCTTATTGTTAGGTCGCAGATACTTATTTATGTATTGAGTCGTCTGTCACGGCAGATGTTTGCTTGCACCTTACAGACGTTTTAAGAATGGAATGAAAAAACTGATTTGCAGTGGTGAAAAGGACTATTTTACAGATTAGTTTTATTTGAACACACATCTATATTTTCTTTCTCGATACGTTGTAAAATATGTCTTCTACGGCAGCTATTACTTAATTGCTTAATGAAAATCGTTTACCACGAAACAAAGAGTAATTATCTGTGTATGAGAGTTGTTGAGTTAATAGAGCTAGAAATGAGCGTGTTCAATACATACATGTCTACATACACGACACATCGCTGCTTACCTATACATAGGCTACTGCAACAACATAATGTATATTTATAATCAAATATGTAATATTAGTTAACAAAGTTTTGTTTTTCTTTTATTATTAATTTTATAATTAATTTTTATTATAAATAATTATTCAAGTAATTAATTCTCAAATACATTTTTTTAGAACGCAACAACTGATACACATATCTCCACTACTGCACCAGCTACCATTGGAAATAACTCAATTACTACAAGTGGCACTACAACACGCATTACCGATGATAGTAATAATGCTTTACCACAAGGAGCTGAAATCAAGATACCAGCAGTTGGAGCAACACCAGTAGCAGTATCAACAAAATTACCAGCTGCTGTGGTACAACTCTCCCAACAAGGTATGTTTCGCAAGTATTTTATTTATGATAAGAAATGTTTCTAAGTTCGAAAATAAATATTCCCTTAAGTTTTTACTGTTCTATAAAGTACAAAACCATAAATTAACATAAAATAATCATATATCAGCTGTACAATTCCATTATTTTTGCTTTTCCTTAAGTGCACAAACCCCTATCAAAACTAAAGTTTTTATTAACAATAAAATAAATGTATACCAATGCATTTAATATATATTAATTATTAGTTTAATTGCAGCTGCAAATATATTTTGTTAATTTTTGTTGTTTATATATATTGTTCTGTTTCACTCTAAATCTTATGCTCATCTCACTCACAACTATGTTATTATTTAGGTCACATACCCGGTAGACCTTTAGGAGGTCGTCACGGGATGGTGTTTGGTCAAATACCTGCTCCACCTGCAGTAGGAAACTCTTCAGTACCTTTGGTGCCAGGTGCTTATTTATTCAGCCAATTTTAGAACTTTCATTCTATTGCGTACTTTAGACGTAGTTTTTTTTCTTTATTTAAATTTTTTTAATAATTTTTAATTTAGAAAAATTTATGTGAGTTATTTTTATTTTAATGCATTCGCAATGCAATTAAATAATTAAATTTTTTTTTAATTTTCTCACGCTTTTTAAAAATATTTGTAAATGTATTGGTGTTACTTTAATTTTAAATTAGTAATTTTTATTAAATTTGAAATTAGAAATTTATACTTTTGCAAAATTTTTATTTAGTGTAAATGCCAAATGCCTTTTTATTTCTTCAATTTTAAAATTTTAATCTCTTAATACGATATATATACAAAAAAAAAAAACAAAACTGATTCATTTTAAAAAATATTTATTTTAAGAAATTTAAAAATGTTTGATAAACTGCTTTCAAGTATTTATTTGTCTAGTCGAAAAATATAAAAGGATAATGGCAGGGAAGAGGATAGAAAGCCTTCTGTACAATAACTTTGATGGGAAATTTTTAATATGATGAAAGATGTCACTGAAAGTGTGGTTCACTCTATTTTTGAGAGAATCGTCACTAAAAAGGATGTTCGCTTTAGCGAGGCATTTGTCTGATTAAAATCTTTTTCTATCTATTATTGTACAATAAATAGGATTAATTTTTTAAAAAAAAAACCCTAATTTACTGAAAGTGTTTTAAAGTATAAAATCTTTGCTAGTCTATAATATATATAGTTAGGTTATTAATTACTGAAGTTTATTAAATTTAAATTAATTAAAATTGTCATTATTATATCTTAAAAGAGTTAAATATTATTTTAGATGATTTTATGATGAATTTCATTGTCTCCGTATAAAATTATATTCTCACAAAAAGAAATATTTATGTCATGTGAGTGAATTATGCACATATGATAAATGTAAAAATGAATTTGGATTAAAAAAACTATATTATTGTCTATCTTAGTTATATTATTATCTATCTTATCTATATTATTATCTATCTTACCTATATTATTATCTATCTTATCTATATTATTAACTATCTTATCTATATTATTATCTATCTTATCTATATTATCTATCTTATTTATATTAATATCTATCTTATCTTTATTATTCTTTCTTATCTATATTATTCTATCTCATCTATATTCTATCTTATCTATATTATTCTATCTTATCTATATTATTCTATCTTATATGTATTATTCTATATTATCTATATTAATATCTATCTTATCTATATTATTCTATCTTTTCCTATCTATTTTATTCTATCTTATCTATATTCTATCTTATTCTACCTCATCTATATTATTCAGTATTATCTATATTATTCTATCTTATCTATATTATTTATCTACGTAATGTCTAGGTATAGGAGTGTAGCTCGTATCCTTACTTTAAAAATGAGGATAACATTAAATTTTGTAATTAGTTTTATTAGCTAAAGACATTTATCTTCTTTATTCCCATAAGCGTTTTTGAGCATTTTCTCAAACGTTGGAAACCAAACGTTGAACCCAGAACCCAACCCAGAAACATTATTCGTTTTTTTTACGCCATTAGTCTGTTGGAAAAAGGACTTTCTTTAAATTATGTACATTTAACAATAGTAAAGATTGGTTTCCAATGTGTTCTCAAAATGAACTCTAATTTTTTCTTAAGCTTCATCTAAAATATGGTTTCAATTATTATATTAAACGTCATTTCCATCATCTTAACTATAATCTCAAACGTGATCTTAAGCACGATCCCAAGTTTTCGTATAACTTTAAAGTTATTTGAGACCTATGCTAGATTCTGATTGGATTGGATACTCACGTAAAGGTTTTTAAGGTATATTTTTGTTTGAGAACACTATTTTTGATATTAGAGACAAGTAATCTTCGGTTGATTTTAGGTGTATTTCAATCTTGACATTAAGTTAAAATCTTAATTGGAATAGAATAGAGCTAGTTGTAATATATTAGAGCTAGTTGTTATATTGGATACTAGGTACATAAACATATTTCTTTTTGTCATTAGTGGAAAAAATTGAGATAGTAAATTATTAATCGAAAGTTTTTTAAAAAACTATTTCCATTTACAAAGAAAAAAATTCCATAATTTGATATTCTATTAGAGATAAAGGCATTATTCTTCGATTATTCCGTCTATTGCATAATAAATATGAACTAATATCAACTAGTGCTGTTTATTTGTTAATTTTATATATATTATTTGGTATAACGAAGAGCTTTAAACGTGTTCTTTAATTTATAGTAGACGTGGTAGAAGCACTACGTTGTTGTAGATTAAATGGCGATCAGTCCAATTTTAGTATATAGTGAACATTTATCTTTATAGTATAGTAAGTTTAGTATCTTTATATAAGTTGTCTGTAATATTATTCACCAATTTGTGTCTTACGAAATTTACTATAATGGTCATAATTTTTGTATTGTATTTATAGCTAAAGTTATTATGTACACTATTCCCCCCTATAATGCGTTTTCATATTAAGCGATTTCATTCCCCTAATAACTGGGCATTCTTCCATATTTCGCGGGGATTTATACAGTTCATAATTAACTTCGTAAACCTTTGCACGTGTGTATACAAGGTATACCCGAATACCCCTATAACGCGGAACCAATCTATTGCGCTATAGGGGGATTACGGTATATTGTATTTAGTTTTTTGGGCAATTTGAATCAATCCAATTTACATATAGAAATACGAGTACATATATGTATGTGCATAATAACCAGAAATAATTCATTTTGTGGGAAATAATTTTTTTTTTTGAATATTATTAATAAATAGCAACATTTTATTTAAAACTTACATTTTAAAAATTTTGAAATATCTTTTTATTTATTTATTTGCCTGAACAATTTGAACATTTTTAATTCTGCATCCAAAGCCTTATGTCCTTATGATAGCATGACTTTTTGTGTAAATATTAAAATTTTTTCTTAAAATTTTATATTAAAGCATATTTTTTATTTATTACAATTCAGGTGGCACTCCACTTGTACCATGTACTACTGGAGTTGGATCCTCAGCTCTTCGTCGGAGCGGCGATACTACTTTGCGTACAACTCAAATTGGTGGTAAGTTAAATATATAATTTTCCTATATCGATAATCAAAAAGAAAAAATTAAAATTTTTTGTTTTTGCAGTGACCCACCATAGTAGCGCGAATAGCTTGACTTCTGGCCTTCAATCGCCAAATACAATTGCTGCTGCTGGGAGTACGCAGGAAGTTTCATTTAAGGCAAAACAGGAAGTTTATGTTATGCAACGTGTGTCTGAACTGCAGAGAGAAGGTTTGTGGACAGAAAAACGCCTGCCTAAATTACAAGAACCTTGTCGAGCTAGAGTACATTGGGATTATTTATTGGAAGAAATGGTTTGGTTGGCAGCTGATTTTGCGCAAGAACGTAAATGGAAAAAAGCAGCAGCAAAGAAATGTGCAAAAATGGTCCAAAAGTACTTTAATGATAAAGCTAATGCAGCTCAAAAAGCGGAAAAAGCAAAGGAATTACACTTAAAACGAATTGCTGGATATCTTGCTAAAGAAGTTAAAATCTTTTGGACAAATGTGGAGAAGATTGTAAAATATAAACTAGAAAGTAAACTTGAGGAAAAAAGAAAAGAAGCCTTTGAAGACCACTTAAGTTTTATTGTAAATCAATCTGAAAAATTTTCTCAGCACATAGCCGAAGATATGAATAAAAGCATACTTGATTCAACTGCTGTAAGTGCAGGTCCGAGTATTAACTCTAGCAGAATATCATCACCTAAATTAACTGATTCAAATATATCTGATGGTGAGTTCGATGTTTCATTTTTGATATAAATTAATTTTTTTTTTGTGTATTTGAATATTGAAAACATTTTTTATTTTATATTAGGTGAGTTTTGTCCAGATTCAGGTTCGGAAGATGACGAAGAAACTATTGCTAAAGCAGAAGAAGAGGCAATTGATGTACATTCGGAAGTGGCTGCATTAGAAAAAGAATCTCAAATGGATTTAGATGACTTTTTAAATGATTTACCTCCAGGTTATCTTGAAAATCGAAATAATTTATTAAAATATCAATCTTCAAGTAATGAAGAATCAAGCGATGATGAGGAAGATATAATTCCAAAGCAGGGAGACGAAGAAATGGATATAAGTTATAAGGAAGAGATTAATGACTTAGAGGTATGTTGAAAATGTTGTGTTAAAAAGCAGTATAAATATTATAAATACTCTTATTTAATTGCAGGCTGAAAATAATTTATCAGTAAAAGAGCTATTAGAAAAGTATAAAACAGTAAGCGTTAATAAAACTATAAGCAAAAATGATCCAGATTCTGATGATGACGAAGACTCAGAGCATTCAGATTTTGAAGAACCTGATCTTAAAACTGATGAACAAAGATTGTCAGAATGCGATGATGCTGAACTTAAGGGTGGATTAAAAAGTCTGTTGGAAGATGTAAGTGACAAAATATTTTTTTTCTATTTTACTTAAACCTGTGGAATGATATATTAATATTGAAGATGTCTCCAAAGGATTACATGAAAGCGGCTGCATTAGCAGAAAGTTTGCAACCACAGGGTAATACGTATTCTTCAACAAATGTTGTAACAGCAGTTCCATTTTTACTTAAACACTCGCTAAGAGAATATCAACACATTGGTCTAGATTGGTTGGTAACAATGAATGAACGTAAATTAAATGGCATTTTGGCAGATGAAATGGGACTTGGTAAAACAATTCAAACAATCGCATTACTAGCACATTTGGCATGTGTCAAAGGAAATTGGGGACCACATCTAATTGTGGTCCCTTCATCTGTCATGTTGAATTGGGAAATGGAATTTAAAAAATGGTGTCCAGGCTTTAAAATACTAACGTACTATGGTGCCCAAAAGGAACGAAAGTCAAAGCGTATTGGATGGACGAAACCGAATGCTTTTCATGTTTGTATTACTTCCTACAAGTTAGTCGTTCAAGATCAACAAAGTTTTCGAAGAAAGAAATGGAAGTACTTAATATTAGACGAAGCTCAGAATATTAAAAATTATAATTCGCAACGTTGGCAGTTACTTCTGAATTTCTCGACAGAAAGGTAAGTGTTATTATAGTTAATATTAAATATAATTATATATATGTATTATTAAAAAAATACCACTATATTATCAGTGTTTATTGAAAGCTAAGAATAAGAATTACGCAAGGTATTTGCGTAATTCTCAATTAACTTTGAGTTTTCTTGTCATACCATGAAATAATTTTAGCTGTAGAGTATACTGATAAAAGGTATTTTGTTTTTGTTAGTTTTATTTAGTACCTGAATAGACTAGAAAACAATCAAAAGGAAAAACATTTGTAAAGTAAATTTAAAAAGAAGTGTTAGTCTCGCATCTTAAAAAGCACATTCTTGTCCAAAACAGATTGGTACCTGAAAAGAATAAAAAACAACAGAAAGAACAGGCATTTTTAAAGAAACTAATAATATATTATAAATTCGCATCTCAAAAAGCACTTTCTTGCCAAACACGTTCGGTTTGAAAATCGTCAATAGATGCTATATTAATTATTGGTAGCAAGGACACCAGTTTTTTATTGATTGGTATCCGAAAACACTAAATAAACAACAGAAAAACAAGCATTTGTAAGAGAAACTAATAATATATTATAAATTCGCATCTCAAAAAGCACTTTCTTGCCAAACACGTTCGGTTTGAAAATCGTCAATAGATGCTATATTAATTATTGGTAGCAAGGACACCAGTTTTTTATTGATTGGTATCCGAAAACACTAAATAAACAACAGAAAAACAAGCATTTGTAAGAGAAACTAATAATATATTATAAATTCGCATCTCAAAAAGCACTTTCTTGCCAAACACGTTCGGTTTGAAAATCGTCAATAGATGGTATATTAATTATTGGTAGCAAGGACACCAGTTTTTTTATTGATTGGTATCCGAAAACACTAAATAAACAACAGAAAAACAAGCATTTGTAAAATAAATTATTAATATATTATAGATTCGCATCTTAAAAAGCACTTTCCTGCCAAATCGTAAGGTTTGAAAATCGTCAACAGATGCTATATTAATTATTGGTAGCAAGGATACCAATTTTTTATTGATTGGTATCCGAAAACACTAAAAAAACAACAGAAAGAACAAGCATTTGTAAAATAAATTATTAATATATTATAGATTCGCATCTTAAAAAGCACTTTCTTGCCAAATCATAAGGTTTGAAAATCGTCAACAGATGCTATATTAATTATTGGTAGCAAGGAGACCAATTTTTTATTGATTGGTATCCGAAAACACTAAAAAAACAACAGAAAGAACAAGCATTCGTAAAATAAATTAATAATATATTATAGATTCGCATCTTAAAAAGCACTTTCTTGCCAAATCGTAAGGTTTGAAAATCGTCAACAGATGCTATATTAATTATTGGTAGCAAGGACACCAATTTTTTATTGATTGGTATCCGAAAACACTAAAAAAACAAGCATTCGTAAAATAAATTAATAATATATTATAGATTCGCATTTTAAAAAGCACTTTCTTGCCAAAATGTTTCGGTTTGAAAATCGTCAATAGATGCTATATTAATTATTGGTAGCAAGGATACCAATTTTTTATTGATTGGTATCCGAATATACTTAAATACAACGAGACATTTTATAAAGTAAATTTAAGTAGCGTAAAATCACTTTCTTGTCAAAAGCCCAATTTAAATTTTGCTGGACCCAAGAAGATTAACAAACAATCAAAAGAATAATTATTTATTTGTAAAAGAAATTAAAAATGTTGTATTAATTTGGGTTCTTGAAAAGCACTTTCTTGTTACAATCCTAGAACTGTTACTAACTAGATACTCACATAAAATAATTTTATCTAGCTGAATGAATGTGGTGTAACGCAGTCTAGAAAACAGTATTCTTTTACTGCAAACAGTAGCTTTCATATCTAAAATCCTCTTATATTTATTTTTTTTAAATAATTTTAGACGGTTACTACTTACTGGCACCCCGCTACAAAATCATATGATGGAATTGTGGTCATTAATGCATTTTTTGATGCCGGCTGTCTTTTCTTCTCATCGGGCATTTAAGGAATGGTTCTCAAATCCTTTGACTGGAATAATTGAAGGAAATGCGGAGTACAACGAAGTGTTAATCAGTCGGTTGCATAAGGTTTGTTGATTGATGAAATAAATATGTTAAAATATTATAATAATTTTTTTTTTTAATAAGGTTATACGTCCATTCCTTTTACGTCGACTAAAAAAAGAAGTTGAGAAGCAAATGCCTAAAAAATATGAACATGTTGTATCTTGCCGTTTGTCTAATCGTCAACGTTACCTATACGATGATTTTATGAGTCGAGCAAAGTATGTTCTATTTTAATTTCTTTTATTAATTTTATTTAAAAAAAATTTTTTTTTTAGAACAAAAGAAACGTTACAGACGGGAAATTTGCTTAGTGTAATAAACGTTTTAATGCAGTTACGTAAAGTCTGTAATCACCCAAATTTGTTTGAAGTGAGACCAACAAATTCACCATTTCAAATGGAAGGAATATCCTACCAAACAGCAGGATTAGTTAGCGGAGCCTTAGAATACGACCCACTTACGGTGAGAACTCTTTAAAAACTTGTTTGTAAAGGTTGTTTGAATACATTATATATAAAATAAATAATATAATATAATATAATATTAATGATGATTATCTGTCACTGAATGCACAAATTTAAGCTATTTTTGTGAAAATTAGTGCTCAAAAGATGTCGCATTTGCGAGGCATTTGTCTGAAAAGATTTAATGTTAAAAGAAAATTGAATTTTTATTGTTCCAAATAATAATCTTTATTTTTAATACTTTTCTGTTTACAGCAAATTAATTTACACACTTTAAATTTACTTAAACTTGAATTGGAACAAACTTTGACCGCTTATGTTTCGCACAAATGTCGTTTACTGGCACCACCTCGCAAACTAATCGAGGAAATTGATTCTGCACCCGAACCACCACCTCCTTGTCCTAAAGGCGAGTACAAATTTTATGTACGAATACGTGATAGCAAACTTCAAGAAAGTTTAACAAAGCACTTAGGTAATGGTGTGCGGGTAGGTGCAAGTCCTGCAATGAAGACTGAGGGTAACAAAATAGTGCCCATTCATAATACGGATATTAAAAATAGTAAAGTATTAAAGAGGATGAACAGTGTTAACCCTATTAATACAAATATCAATTTAAAAAGAATTTCATATTTATATGAAAATAAAAACCTAAGTTCTACTTCAGAATCTCCACCGCCAGCGAAAATTCCCAAGCTGATCCAAACCAAAGCTAATGTTCTTTTATCATCGCCGCTTGGACTTAGTGAAACTGCTACAACAAGTAGATTAGGTACGACCTTCAAAGTAAATAAAAGCAGTATTAATGAGAATACAAGTAATTCTGGTACAGTGCGAAATGAAACTATCAAACTAGTAGCTGATCAGGTGAAGTTAAACGAAGAACGAAGTAAGGTATCAATAAATGAGGAGAAGGAAATATCAAACGCAAATAATATAGTATCGTTAGCTCCTACAAGTCGTTCGCAGAAATTAGCTAAAGTACGTAAAGAGTTACGTTCGGAACGTTTAAAATTGATGGCTTCTGTTAACAAAAGACGAACTGATGCATTTCCTATATATGGTTCAGATTTGCGAGAAAGTTTAGAGAAATTATTGATACCCACTTCATCATTAACCTTTTCATCATGGCAGACTCGAGGGTATAGTAATTGTAATGTAGCCGCAAAGAGACTAGATAATTGGTCATTAAATAAATTGCTTAAATCCTATGAGACACGCTGTAATGAATTTAGTAGCATATTTGATAATTTCGTTGTTTATGTTCCACCTGTTTGTGCACCACGGATACGCTTTTATGTTCAAAATCCTTGCTCTCGTGTAAAACTTGAAGATAAAATTGAGAATACCATCACGAGGGATATGTCCAGGAAATTAACACTTTTACATCCCATCATTTCAGCAATGAGAACACAATTTCCTGATCCTCGACTCATACAATATGATTGTGGCAAGCTGCAAACGTTAGATCTTCTTTTGAAACAATTGAAATCGGGTCAACATAGGGTACTTATATTTACACAAATGACAAAGATGTTAGATGTGCTTGAAGCATTCCTTAACTACCATGGGCATATATATTTGCGTTTAGATGGATCCACACGCATCGATCAACGCCAAGCTCTAATGGAGCGTTTCAATGGAGACAAAAAGATTTTTTGTTTCATATTATCTACACGTTCTGGTGGAGTTGGTGTTAATTTAACTGGAGCTGATACTGTGATATTTTATGATTCGGATTGGAATCCAACTATGGATGCTCAAGCACAGGATCGATGTCATCGAATAGGACAAACACGCGATGTTCATATATATCGATTGATTTCTGAAAAAACTATAGAAGTGAATATTCTTAAAAAAGCAAATCAAAAGCGTATGCTCAGTGATATGGCTATTGAAGGAGGAAACTTTACCACAACCTTTCTCAAAAGTTCTACTATTAAGGATCTCTTTAACTTAGACCAAAATGATAAGGAAAATGAGAATGCATCAAAACAAGAAAAAGTAAATGCATCCACAAGTGGAGCAACAATTGCTACTGAAACGCAATTGAGCAATGAAGTTGACACTGAAAAACAATCGTTACGTGCATTTGAAGATGCTTTAGCAGCGGCTGAAGATGAGCAGGATGTCAAAGCCACTAAGATAGTTAGCGCGGAAGTAGCTGCTGATCTTGCTGAGTTTGATGAAACTGTATCTATTGCTCCAGAAGCTGTTGAAGGAGCGAAATTATTAATGAAAGATCTAAGTAAAGCGGATATGGAATTACAGAATTTGGAGAATCAGGTATGTAAAATGTTTTATGTAAAATGGTTTATAATAATTTTATAATATATAATAATTATTTCATACTTACACTTGAAGGAATAAAATATATTGTAAATTTGAACTCATCATATATATTTATAGGTGAAAAATATATTAAATTAAATGTCATTAGGCAACATACGTATAAATTATCTTAAGTTTAAATTTAATTGTCATTGTATTTGATGTAAATTGATGTTACTTCTCACATTGCAATAGTTGCTGCTGCTGCTTTGCTTTGTTAGGTTAGGTTAGTTTATACCGACGATGCGAAGAAAATCCACTTAGATCTATTGGCCCATTGTGCTACCGTATAATGGAGAGACTCGAGATTTAAAACCACCTGGAATTAGTTTTTTATTTTGCATTTATATTTGCTGCTGGGGTATCAATTAATAGCTAAAGATACATACCGTTGCTGTATTTTTCAGACATGCAGATCAGATTAAGGGAAAGGCAGTTGTTGTGTTGTATACCAGCAGTCCTTGTAATGACTGAAAAGTATTAGATAAAATAGATTATAATATTACAATAAAAGAAGGGAAATATGCTTAACGATAGAAAATAGGACACGTTTAAGTAATGATTAGGTAGTGGAAATAAAAAATTTATAAATGCTTATAAAAGCATTATATAATTATAAGTACTAGTGTTTCACTTTTGTAAGATACGGAAGTACTTTGAAAACCATGACATAGATTTGAAAAAATAATGCAGTACGTAACGAAATTAGTAATGTTATCTTGATAGTTTGCACTCTATATATGCCATCTGTTTTTAGATTTGGATGAGGTGCGTGGAGATATTGAATATCTCTCATAGTGAAGTGGAAATATCGAATCTTGTGAATATTGTTCTAATCATATCCTTTAATTAACAATTAGTTTTTAGAATGTTTTATGTGCGGGGAGTGTCACAGGGTATTTTCTCTGATCTCGTACACTCTGTTATGAAAAATACTCATGCCTAGAATGATATCATCACACTCTCGAGATGTCTTGTTTGTATTAAGAATGATATAATGATATAGTAAGATGTATTGTATATTGAAAGATATCATATTATAGATATCATAGAAAGAACCAATAATAGTTTCATAAATTTAATGTATCTTAAGACATATAATGTATATAGAAAAATATCATCCATATATACAGATATAATGTTTATAGAAACATTGTAAGGTTCCTAAAACTAATAATAGGCACCTTTTATTGTGGAGATTTCCAGCGATATCTGAAGAGTATGCAATATACAACCTATGTATATTTTATATTGTATACATTTTGATTTCGTCGCGTTTTCATACAATTTAAAGTAATTTAATATGTGTAGTGAGATGGCTTTCTTTACAATTAAATAGCGGTAACTTCATTTTGTTTTATTGACCTTACTTTATAAATTCATAATAATATAATCTAGATAATCTCTAGATTTCTAAACTAGATCTCTAAATTTCATTTAGAGGAAAATTTATATTTACGATAAATTATTAACAATCATGAAAAATATATAGATCAGTTCTTTTAAGTTTTTTTTTTTTAAATATTGGCATTGGATTTCTTTTTTTATTTTGTTTAATGCACTGTGCATTGAGCATAATGATCTAATGCTATAAAAATTGTTGACACAAATGACGTTCAGACATAGTTAAAGCGAAACAATACGCTTGATTATATCACTCAACGTCTTACATGCACATATAATAATTTATTATATCTTTAATATATTATATCTATATATTTAATTAAATATTAGATGTAGAACTATCAAAGAAATCTTTTTTTTTTTAATTAAATGTATATTAAATATGTTTTTTTATATTATTTTAGCTTTCTCCTATTGAGCGTTATGCTGTGCGTTTTGTTGAACAAATTGGTGATGTGTGGAGTGCCGAGCAATTACGTGCTGCTGAAGAGCAGATAGAAGCCAAAAAGCGTGAGTGGGAAGCAAATAGTCTGGCCGCTTTGCAGAAAGAGGAAGAAATGTTAAAACAAGAAACGGAAAATGATGAATTGCTCACCTATAATCGCAAGGATTCATCTACTGATCAGGTTAATAGAAAAATAGATATTAAGAATAACAAATATGTATCAAATAAGTCTAGAAATTATCGCGTAGTTAAGTCCCAAAATATGCATTCTTCTAGACTGAAGAATATTAGAAATCGTAATTTAAGAAAACAGAATCATATTCCGAGATTAAATTCCGCAAATAACAAAAATAAAGAAAATGTTAAAAGTAAAAGAAATAAAATAGGTCGTAACTGTATAAGCAATAGTAATTTGGCAACGATTTCTAAACAAGATGTTAAGAAAAAAGAAGAAAAAATAATTACAAGCCCCATTAGAAAGACAACTCGCACATCAATAGCTGCAGCTGCAGACTTAATTACTAATTCAACTACATCATCAAATACACTGAATAGAAATCGAGCAGGTGTTAGAAATCAAAGAGCATTAAAAAATACTGCATCTATGTCATATAAAACACATTTAAGAAATAGAAGAGAAGCTTCAACTAAAACTAGATTACCGCCAAGACGAGGATCAAAGCAAATGTCCAAAATGAAACAATATAGTAGTGATAGTAGTAATAGTAGTGGTAGTGATAATAATGATGATGATGAGGACGATAGTAACAATAAAACTGAAATTGAAATTGAAACTGATACTGAGGAGGAGGATGATGATGATGAAGAAAGCGAGAATGAAGAGGAGGATGATGAAGAAAGTGAGAATGAACAGGAGGATGATGAAGAAGAAGAAAGTGAGAATGAAGCGAGTGAGAATAGTTCTGAGGAGATTGTTGGTTTTAAAAGTGAAGAAGAAAATTATGAGACTGAGAAAAGTAAGTTTTTAAATAAAACTGAAAAAACTAAAGTTCGAGTGATAAAGAGAACAGTTAAAAAAAAGGAAGTAGTACAAGAAGAAGAAGAAGAAGATTTACAAGATCCATTAGAAATAAATGAAAGAGATAAAAACGTCTACAAAACTGAATATGAAAAAGACTTCGAAGAGCACACTAACTCAAATAGTATAGACGCTTGGAGTGCACACACACAAATGCATGATACAACAACTACAAGTTCTACATATTATAATGTTTCAGAGGAATCTGACTCTGATGTCAATGAAACTATCACAGGAAATAATATTAACTTATCTAAAAGTAGTTCATACAGCACTAGACATAAAAGTTTACGTTGTCTAACACCTGAATATAATATTGTAGATGTTAATAGTCCGCGAACACGTTCTAGTGGTACTGTGCAAATTAATTTATGGAGATTAAATGAAAGTCCAGTCTTACCGGGCGTAAAACCGTATGTGGCGAGATATGCAAAAAAGGAAAATTCAATGAAATTTGAGCATATGAAAAATAATACAGATGAACAAAAAGATAATGAAATAGAAGAGAGTGTTTTTGATGATACACAATCAAAGAAAAGTAAACGTGGAGATGCAACTACTTCTTTGCGGTCCAAACGTATAAAAGTGCTTGTAGGTAATAAAAGAACTGCTAGTGAATCAAATGACGCGTCTGGCAACGCACTACGTCGCTGGCTCATAAAGTCGCCATCAGTAAATAGTTCAACAGTAGAGAGTAATGACGGAGTCGATATACAAACTATATCAAATCGACAGATAAAAAATACTAGAACTAAAACACGACAAAGTATAGCTGACGTCGGATCAAATGATACTCAAACCGTCATAGAAACAAGAACTTTAAGAGCAACGAAATCAGTGGGCGGTAACAGCAATGGTCCTTCATGATGATAATTATCATTGTTCACTTTATACCCAACAGTATTATTATTATATATATATATATAAATATGTGTGCGTGTATGTACATATATTATAAGTATATATTTTGTAAAAAAAAGGACGTTTACTGCATTTGTGCTAAGATGTGTATGGGATTTGCGATTTTTAATGGGAATCTATAGCATTACAGTGTTAACACAATTTTATACATCTCATCAATAATATGTATTTGTATATTTATTTGCCTAATATACAAATCTCAGTACATGTATAAATTTGTTATAAGTTTAACACTAGCATATACAAATATTTTGTATTTTAACTTAACTTATTTTTATAATTATACTATAAAATTAATTATAATAAGAAATGTAAATAATTTATAATAGATTTAGAATTGATTTAAGAATAATTTAAGCTACATTAGATAGGTGGATTAACAGACTATGAAAGTAAATACGTCTTAAATTGGTTTTAAGATTTTAAGATTTGATTCTGATACTCTAAAATTTTAGGAATTAGTAGACCCAGTCGTAGCTGCGATTTGAAAATATCTGAAATTGCATGCTAATTTTAGTTAAAAATATGTAAAAATATTAAAGAGAGGCCAGGCCATTAAAATAGAACTAGAATTTTTAGCTAACTATTAATTTGTCATTTTATAACTTTTATAAGGAATAAGTATTGTTAATGTTTTTATTTATATATGCGTTTCTGCTATATGTCTATTGAATTTAAATTGTTGAAATATTCTAAAAAAATTTTTTTTCATTAAAATTTCGATTTATCATAAAATACATATATATTCTATTACATTTTTTTGTTTTGGTATGTGTATGCATACATTTACAAAAGTACTTCTTCATAAATATCTAGTATAATCAGTGATGTATACAGAGATTTTATTAAAGAGGTGTTTTGAAAATTAATTCAAAGTATTTGTGAAAACATTTAAATCAAAAAATCTGCATTATATTTAGTTTAAAATGGTCCGAAAAATTTTACGAGGGTTTGCATTCCAGAACTCCTTTGTATATGCATACGCCACTGGCTATAATTTATTAATTAGTTTTTTTTTTTTTTAAATAGAAATTATTGTGAAAACATAAATGAATTTTAACATGTCCTTCAGTAAAAAAATTTGATTTTTAATTTGTCTCCTCACAACAAAAAAAAAACAAAAAAAATTATTGTAAATAAAAATTTATTCCTTAAAACAATTGTATTTATGCTACTTCACTCTAAAATCAAAAATAAAAATTTTGAAATTTTCCATGTGTCACATTGAAGTTAGGCATATTCAACAAGATTATAATTAATATCAACATTTATGAAACACAAAAAAAAAAAAAAAAAATAAAAAAATAAACGAAGATAAAAACTATAAGTTAATATAAAAATAAAAACATTGTTTTATTTAGATTTTATTTCGTTCGTATTTGTGTTACAAAATATATGGAGACAATAATCTTTGGCCTAGTCAAATTTTAAATACATGTTGTGTTCAAAATAGATTGTCAAATTTGCAACGAATTAAATTTATAATATATTAAAATATATATTAATAACAATTATACCAAAAAAAAAAAATTACGATAAAAAAAAAGAAAAGATATATCTCAGTAATATTGTATATTAATATTATTTTCTTAATTAATTTTGAAATCTGTTTTGGTGTCAAATTCTTTTTTTTATACTTAAGTTAATATATCTGAAAAATTTATAATAATGTGAAAAAAAAGCATTTTTGTTTGCATTGCATTTCCCTTTAAAATATTAATTAAGTTTTAATTTCCATTAATGGAGAAATATTCAATTCTTTAAAATAAAATAAAAAAATTATAAATATTTTATTCATATAAAATTATTAAAATAATGGGCACCAAAACAGTTGAGCCGTTCATTCATTTTTTATGCAAGGATATATTAGCATTAAACTTAAAGAATAGAATAAAAATGTTCTTCTTGAAAAATATTGCCATTCTCATACGGCCACAGAATTATTTATTGTTTTCCAAACATTATAAGCAAATGCGGAAGAAATATAAATTTAAATTTCAAAAGAAAAACAGTATTTTGAATTATTTGAAAATAATCAGTTTGTGTCGTTAATAAAGTTTATAGCTTTCGGTAAAATTATGCTTTCTATAAACACCAAAACAAAACAGATTTCAAAAGAAAATAATATTAATTCATGATATTTTCTTTTCTTTTTTTGTTATTGCTGCGGTTGCACACAATTTTCATATCCGTGCTTCGACGTTTCACTCTCTGGTTTTTTATGAATGATATCAATCAATAATAGATCTGGATGTCAAGAAACAGCATGGAACAAATGCCGGTAAGTTTTTAAACAACTTTACTTTTTATAAATAACAAAAATTTTTTAGTTGTTAGTAATAACAAATATACTTAAATGAGTATATTTATTTTTTAATAATATAATAAAAATATATATTTTGTAATAATATAATAAAAATATTTATTTCGTAATAATATAATAAATATATTTATTTCGTAATAATATAATAAAAATATTTATTTCGTAATAATATAATAAATACAGTATGTCTTCGATGAATGCAACTAATAGAATTCGACGGTTTTGCAATAATCGAGGTTGTTGCAATAATCAAGTTTAGATTATTTAGTGCCCTTAAAATTTTTAAATCAAATAAACAGGATATTAACACAAAGTTTATCAGAAAATAATATTGTCCAATTCGGACATAATAATGATCAACATAAGATACTACAAATCTTGTATTTTAATTAGATTTATCCTATTGTATTCAACATAATATATTACAAATCATTTATTTTAATTCGATTTATTCTATTATTTTGTTTTGTTGTCAAAGTGAATTTTTTATTCTCATAATGTTAATAACTTGATGTCTTAGCCTTGAACGCTGGGTTAGGATATCGACATTTATCAAAAACAACAACAACACACGAGTACACACGAGTACACTTTGCTCGTCATATGAAACTGCATATAAGCCATGCATTTGGCATGTGCAATATTTTAATACAGAACATTATGAGAAATGAAAATTCGTTTGTGCAAGGTCAGTATTATAATTATTAAAATAATAATTATTAGGTGTACCGGTATGAAATGAGCGTTTTTTTGGTGAAAATAAAACACTAATTATTAATAGGAAAGTAAAAAACATTTTATTCAAAGTATTGGCCATTGCTTTCTACACATTTTGACCACCTTTCTGGCAATTTGTGGATACCACGCCAAAAAAATTGTTCGTCTTTTAAAGCAAACCAACCATACACCCAATTTTCGACCTCCTCGTAGGAATCAAAGTGCTGCTCAGCCAATGCGTGTTCCATCGATGAAAACAAATGGTAGTCGGAAGGAGCCAAGTCTGGTGAATATGGCGGGTGGGGTAACAGCTCCCAGCCAAATGTTTTGATTGCATCCTGAGCCTGTTTTGCTTTGTGTGCAGGTTTATTGTCATGGAGCAGAATTACCTGGCCGTGTCTTCTGGCCCATTCTGGTCGTTTCTCGATCAATGCATGGTTCAAATTTATCATTTGTTGTTCATAGCGACCAGCATTGACGGTTCCACCAGGTTTTAGGAGCTCGTGGTACACCACACCTTTCTGGTCCCACCAAACACACAGCATTGTCTTCTTGCCGAATCGATCTGGTTTTGAAGTCGATGTTGATGGTTGTCCCGGATTAACCCATGATTTTTTCCGTTTAGGATTCTTAAAATAAATCCATTTTTCATCGCCAGTAACAATCCGATGCAAAACCGATTTTCTTTCGTGTCTTTGAAGCAAAATTTAAGTGTTTTTTCGGTTTTCCACCTGTCTTTCATTCAATTCATGTGGCACCCATTTTCCACACTTTTGGATCTTTCCCATAGCTTTTAAACGGTCAGAAATTGTTTGTTGTGCAACATTTAACATTTCTGCCATTTGCTTTTGACCCAAAGTGTCATCTCCATCTAATATCGTTTGCAATTCGGCGTCTTCAAACTTTTTTGGCGGTCTTCAACGTTCTTCATTTCTCACATCAAAAACATTATTTCTGAACCGTTGAAACCATCTTTTGCATGTTGCTTCTGATAGAGCATGATCACCATATGCCTCGACAAGCATTCGATGCGACTCTGCACGACTTTTCTTCAAATGAAAACAAAAAATTAATGCTTTCCGCAAATCATCACTTTCTGGTACAAAAATCGACATTTTTAACACGATGAAAAAATATGATGTCTGTTCAATGACTTGATGTATACTAAATATATTTCACACATGTCATAGCAAACAAACAAAAAGAAATAAAGGCTCGTTCACAACAAATGTTTCCTGTCGGAACATTTGTATCTTTACGCTCACTTCATACCGGTACAACTGGTATTTTGGACAGTGTAGCTTTTACCAACATCAAGTTATGGCTTTAAAATTAGTAGGGATAGGTAATGATATACAGATGTGTTAACTTTTGTGTGAAAGCGTCACCTAGTGGTAATTCTTGGAAGCAGTAGGTTGTTAAAGGGTAATTTTCTTTGTGTTTCGTCTCTTATAAGTATAGATATGTTACTCTTTCCTATGTCATAGAAGGAATAGTATCCCATTTCATTGTTTGCTAGCATATCTATTTTTTCACTGCACTGGATCATATACACTAGATCACTACACTCGGAACATATAGAATGTATGCTTTATTGATTTGACACAGCTTTGATGTTAGTTGATGAGATTTGAGTTGTTTGCTTATACATGATAAATGATATACATTGATTGATACCAAATAATTTTATTTAAAAGACTAAAAGTTGTAACTTATGCGAAGTAGTATAATTTCTATGGCAGTTGCTGAGTATTATCTGTATGTATAATAGACTATTGAAGATTGTAGTATTAAATAAGAAAATCATTTCTATTGTAATCAATTTTTCTTTCTATTCTATTCTTTCTAATTTTAATTTTCCATTATTTTTAATCTTAGCTAATTTTTAAATACTGTGACTTTTTACTAACAGTTTTACATTTTAATCCCAAAAATTCTATGAAAATTAAAAAAAAAAATATATTAAGATTAGAAACCATTTGGCGATAAGTTAAAATCGTTTTAATTATAAGTATAATAGTAGATCTTTTGAACGATGTTAAGGTTTTTTATATTATTACGAATTTTTGAAATATTTTTATTAAATAAAATTTCTACAAATAAAAAAATTAGAACAAAATATTATTCTATTCTTTGTAATTTGTTTATAGATGTGGTGCCCTCCGACTCCGCCCCAGGACGAAAATGATATTTATATTGATTATTCATTATCATTCATGTATGAAATGGATACTATTCCAGATATAGATCTACCACCAATTTATGTCAAACGGGAATACAAACGTTCTCGGGCAGAAGCTGGATTACATGCAGATGGTCGTCGTTCCACAAAAATACGTAAAGAGGATAACTATTATGCACCTCGTTCTCTCTTTGATAAACCTTCTACAGCAATAGCTCGCATTCGACGAGATCTTAAAAGTCAGCGTCATAGAGGAGTTTTTAAACCCAATGTTCAAGTGGCCGGGCTTAAACCTCAAATTACTCCTAAACCGGCATCTGAACCTGATTGTATAGGGGAATGGAGTATTTTAGAAGACTTAACCATTTTAAATGTTTTAGTAAATATACAAGGCTTACCCTGCAATTTAATGGTATTGTCACCTGGTCATACACCCAATTGGGATTTAGTTGCAGAGATTGTTAATAGTTGCACTAGGACACACCGTTCCGCTAAGCAATGCCGTTGGCGTTACGAGACAGTCATACAGCCACGTGAGGAAGGAAAAGCTAGCGACAGTCCAAAGAAACAGAAAAAAATGAAAAATGCTATTAAAGTAGATTATCTCAAAGGTCCACTTCGTTACTTAAGAACTACACAATTATTTATAAATGACAACAATATGTCATTTACTAAAATGATGCGTTCACGATTTGATTGCATTAAGGCTGCATATCTGAAAAAAGCTCCACCTCCAAAACGTCATTTTTCAAACCCAACTACAATGAATCCAAAACATTTAGAAGTTTTGCAAGAACTTGGCGTTACTAGCTACGATCAGCCAATAAGTCCTTTAAATATCGCAGCAATGAAAGTAAATAAATATCGTGAAAAGCAACGTAGTCATTTACCGCCTCCACCTCCACCTACAGCCGCTGGCCAAAGTACGCATCAGCAGCAAGTTACTGTACCTACTCAAACAGCGCAAACAGCGCATACGCAGCAACAGCAACAAATAGCATCAGTGCAGCATCAATTAGTACAAGCCAACCAGCAGCAACAAATACAGGAACTTGTGCAACAGCAAAATGCTGTTACACCTTCAGCGCCTGCGCAGTTGCACACACAGCAGCTTCAAATTCAACACATATCCAATACTGGCATTGCAGGTGGCCAACAGCAATCCACAGCAACTGCAATTGTGCTACAACATGCAGGGAACTTATCACAACAATTACAACAACAAACGTCAATTACTAGCAATACTGTGCAGAATCAAACACAAGTTCTACGTGGCCATTCTGGAGCTGCGCAAATAGTAAAGGCAATTGTAGCTCAACCATCAGGATTAATTGCTACCAGTCAAATGTTGGCACAACAAAATACAACAACAGGAACTCAACATGTACAATTACAATCTGCAAGCGGTGGTAATTTGGTTGGAGCTCCAGCTTCAGTATCTGTAGTGCTCACAACTCCAGTGCAGACAATATCTTCAAATGTGCAACAATCACATCACACCCAACAATCATCCATTGTTTCCAATTCAACGCAAGTTGGAAGCATTGTACAAACTTTGCCGCAATCGATACAACAAGTGGTTCCCGTATCTCAACTAGCAAATGTAGGTACCGTTTTAACTACTTCCTCCAATTTGCAACCGAATGCTGGTACTGTTACTACACTTAATGCTTCCACATTGCGAGCACAACGCATAGTAGCTGCTACGTCTGGTACTTTGCAGGATGTTGTTTTGCAACAGCGTTCAGGTAATCCAAGTCCCACAATAGTTTCGATGCCAAATTTAGGACAGAATGTTACGCCTGCACAATTCCAAGCAGCTCAATTGCGTTTAGCAGCTTCTATGTCGAGTGGTTCGCAACAAGTGGTTGCCAAAAGTATACCAGTGAGTTCCTTACAACAAACTGCTAAACTTACACCAACATCTAGTAGTGGTAACCAGCAAGCACATATACAGCTCTATCGTCAAAGACAAGGAGTTAAAGTACTACAATCTAGTTCTTCACAAGGCACTCAATCAGTCCAAACTGCTGGTGGCCAAACTGCTTTACTCAATGCTGCAGGCACTATTATACAAGGTAATATTATGCAGGCTTCTGCTGTGACAACAGCAGTGCAGGTTCAAGGACAAAAGGTAGCTGTGGCATCGGTACCATCATCCAGTGTTGTCACTACTCCTAGCGGAGGTACCTCTTCCGTGGCAACCGTGCATGTTGCACAAAATACGGGTCGAGCGCAATTTATAAAACATGTTGGTACTGGTAAGCAAGGTGTTAGACAGGTGGGAGAAACCGATATGTTGTTAGTAAAACGACAGGTGATTGGAAGCCATTCTAAAACGCAGGTTCTGCAACAAGGGCAAATATTTGCATCAGGTTCTACTGTGAGTGGAGTACAGATACAGCAGAACACCCAAGCCACTTCAACTGGTAATGTACAATCACAGTCACAAGGGCAAACACAACAGACTCAGGTTCAACAAATAACACCACAACAAATTGCAACTCTAGTTAAAACATCTAGCGGTGCTTCTGCTTCTGGTTTAAGCGGAGTTAGTGTTGCCACTGGTGGGCAACCACAAACGGTGAATATGGCACTATCACAACTTAAACCAGGCGGACAAATAAAAGTTACAATGGCCAATCAATCTCAAATGCGTCAACTGCATATGCAGCAGCAGCTGGGTATTTCAAGGAAAATAAATCGTATGACGCAAATCGCTCCTGGAACTCAGATTAATGCAGCGGCAGTTGCATCGAATCAGCAAGGTAATAGTGGTAATGCGCAGTTAAATACTGGAGCATCAATAACAACACAAAAAAGTGCAGGAAGTGTGCAAGCTCAACTTTTACATATACAAAATTCCAAAGCGCTACCCAGTTCTGTTACAGTTCAACAAATTCAACAGGTAATGCGGCAAGGGCAACAAGGCAGTTTAACTACTACTGGCCTAGTATTAGGCAAGACAAGTGTTGGACGTGTTATACCAGTATCGGTAGCATCGCAGCCCAACCAACGACAAATACAGGTATATATTATAGAAAATGATATTATTTGACATTAAATATTAATGTATTTTTTTTTTATTTAGGTTGTTTCTGCAACATCTGCTCAAGCTATTGCAGCTAACAATATTCGCGCCCAAGTCGCTAGTGGTCAAATTAAAGTAGCACCTGGAAGCAGTCAATCACAAACACAACAAGCGCTGATTAATGCCATACAACAGCAAGCTGCTGCTCAGCAAAGTCAACGACATGCAAGTCCGGTACGTATACAGACTACGGCTAGTGGAAATTTAGTTGCTGTTGTTCAACAACAAGCTTTGCAACAACAACAAAACATTGTTGCATCTAATATGTCTGCAAACGTTGGTGCAAGTAATTCGGGACAAGAGGTTATGACAATAAATCAGGGCACAGCTAGCAACGTTAGTAGTACCCAACAACAAACAACTGTGCAACAACCAACTACACAACAAGTCCGAACGCTGGTGAAGAAAAAAATCATGCAAATACGTAGTGAAAAGGATTAAATCTACAATTACTTCATTTAAATTTATTTGGTTGGTTTTACAGCCAAAACTAAAAGAAATAAATTATTTAGAATTAATATTAAGAAAAAAGAATTTAAATTAATTTAAATGAGTTACTATTTAACAAAGAAACAATTTTGAAACAACAAATGTTAAAGTATTATTCTTAGTTGGTAGTCACTTAAATTTTAAACTAGTAATCTGTACATAGAAAAGATGTATAATTTTACTCCTTTCATTACCATGTTTAAAAAAACATTTCCTTCTAAAAAATATTGAACGGGATATGAATACATAATATTTATTATTTATATATTTCGTACTCAAAAAAACAAAAAAAAAATACTAAATAAAGAAAAGATAATATGAATTTGCTTTTTTAAATTTAAAATATTTCAGCTAATAAAAATGTTTAATGTATAGATTTTAAAATGTAGAATCCAGTACTATCTTGAAAGGGTTCTTGGATTTTAAGCAACTTTTTATAATTTAAGAATCTGAATAATAACAATTTTTATATTATTCACACAAATCAACTCTCTCTCTCTCTCTCGATAACTGTGAAGTAGCATAGGTTTGATTATTACTTCTTTATTCAGCGGACAAAAGGCTTACGCAGCCCACCATGTTTCAGATTAGAATTAAAAAAAAAAAATATCTTTGGTGGGTGTTGAACAGCGTGTTTATTCGTTGAAATTGACGAGTGGCTCCAGGACGTAAACCCGACCGTTATTGAAAACTCGCGGGTGCAACAACAGGACAAAAGTTGAGAATTAGAATGGAATTTTGAATATAGGTGGGCAATGTAATCTTTCAGTTTTACTCAACCTGTAGTTGAGTACAGGCAAAAATTTATGTGTATATACCTGATGAATCTTCATATTATTTTATTATGCAGAAAATTTAATTTAACTAATTTAAGTATTGTTTAAATATTTATAGCATTTAACACATTTCTAAGATTTATATTAAGTTGTAGCAATTATTGTATTAAAAAACAATTTTAAGAAAGATAATGAGAAAGAATACATAAGATAAGATAAAATAGGAGAGAAGTTTGAACATATAAATCTTGTTGATATTTGTTACTGTGTATTTCGTAACACATAATACATACACATCAAAAAATGTAAATAAATTATTGCCTACCGCCGCTTTTAAATGATGCAATAACTTTGATTAGTAGTAACTTTGAGTAACACTGTGTATCTACTAGTAAATTTTCGAGCAAATGAGAACGTAACATCCCTGTCGAAATTTGAAAATGCTACATAGACTTTACTCCTACATTTTATTCCAAGTAAAATTGTGTTGATATGTGAATCAGCTGTTTTGGTTTGAATTTAAATTTTCGTATGGTTTATTTGCGCGGCACTGATGTTTTTACCAGACTTTACGCAAAGCTATTCCATGAAAATCTGTGTAAAGAGCGTAATTTGGCACTTTATTTGTGCTGCGCTCTCAGTTTGTACTTGTGTATTACTCGAGTTTTACTAAGAGTAGCTGGTGGAACATGAGATATGATAGGCCCAGAACCATTCTGTGGTCTAGGCAAAGGAATACTATCTATTATGAATGGTGCAGAGGAAAAAGAAAGTGAACTCTATTGGGAAAGGATACCAGGACTCTCACAATCTAAATTGCTGTTAGGAACTTATAACCTAAAACGCTTCAAAGATTGCATGGCACTAAGAATTATTACGGGGTTATTGTCCGGTGACTGTAGATTTAATATTCACCTATCAAAGTTAGGAATTCAATCCAACTCAGACTGCAGATACTGCAGAGAAGAGAGAGAAACTGCATACCATGTGCTTGGGGAGTACTCTATACTGAAAAACACCGCACAAGCGGAAAAAACACCTAGGAGGGTATTTCCTGGATCATAAAGATTCAAGATTAGGAAAGGTAGGCTCTATATTGTCCTTCATTAAAGAAATCGGAATTGGAGATACACTCTTACCCGAGTAAGGGACACAATAGATCTTTTAGGTCGCAGTGCACAATCCCTTCTTTTTTTCTTATAATAATTAATGGTATTGATTAATGGTTTTTAAATGTTATTTAAAGGAAAACGTTGCAGTTGACTAAGATCCTTAAAGAAAGAAGCCCGCCCTTAAAGTGTTGAGTCGCCGCTATGCATGAGCTGGGCACTGACGAAGCAGATGAGAGGCTCTTTTATCGTCTTCCTTACAGCTGCGATACATGTAATTGAAGGGAGATTTAATGTTTTAGTATAATTTCCTAATCTGCAATGACCTGTGACTAAACGTACCACAAGACTGATATCTTTTTTGTCAAATACTCAATGAGAATATTGGATTTTGTTTTACGGGAACGTGGTCAATTTGGATACAGATGCGTATAGCATAGACCAATCTCTTTGAATATGTAATTACAACATGGTAAACCGGTAGTTTATTTATCGCGTTTGGATTGTTTGTTCATGAGATCACTACCTTTGTATGCAAAGTAAGTGATGCAAAAGTGAGCCTCATTGCCTTATTGTGCAAAACTTTGTGAATGTTTTTCACTAAACATATTAGATAGATTCATGAATAAAATATTAACACTGCTCGGATGCAAGATGTTGCATGATGAATTGTGAAACAATACTTAATAAGGATATAGTTTTAATTAGCAAATTATTTATCAGCTGTTTTATTGTCGTTATATTGACAAAAGTATTTATTAAAATAAGACCCTGTATGAGTATATATGGTATCGTTTTGTTATTATTTGTTATATTTATGACTTATTATTCCATATTACAAATAGAATGAGGAGTTGTTGTCTTTGTATTTCTACTAACTGTTGTGTTGGGTTAATGCATTTGCTATGTACAATAAAATTTATTACAGCAAACTCTATATATTATACTTCACAAAACAATAATTAAAAAATAAAATTAAACGCCCTCTTCAAAACATTAAACTCGTTCCCTTCTATTGTGAAGTTATTCTATTTTCAAGTTTGTTTGTGATAAGTTTCCTAGACTACCACTCGAAAACATGGCGATACAAAAAATATTTTAAATGAAAAACAATATTATTTTATTAAACCGAGGATATAAATGAAGATTTTTTCTGTTTGAATATAAACGGATAAAAATAATAATTAAACCTCGCTCAGATGTCTCTATTTAATGTTTGTAATTGGTGGACAACTCAGTGTTCGGACTTGAATGAAAACTACGATGTCGCCAGTTTACTTTGTGCACGGTTCGGCCTGGAAGAAAGTGAAAAGGATTATGTGGTTGTTGGTTCACATGGAGGTCATTTGAGTATCTTTTATCCAACACTGGAACCAGATCGTATTGAAGAGAAAAACTGTTTTAAGCCTACGGATTTGTTGTTGGAAACAGTACTTGGAGAGCCAATTTTAGGTATTTTTGCTGGAAAGTTTAGCAGGTGAGGAAGTTTAAATACACAGAAATTAAGGAAATTAAATGGTAACAGTATATTTTTGTTTGTAGTAATATACGAGATGAAAACAACAATCAATTAGCCGTTCTCCATTTGCGTTCAGTTGCCATTTATAACATTCAAACGGTAGGAGGTGTAGCAGAACATGGCACACAATTAAGTCTACAACAATTGACAGAGTACAAGTTCGAGCGGGGTGCATACAGTTTCTGTAAAGGACATTTTGGTCAAGTTAAGGGACGTGAATTTTTTTGTATTGTACATTTGGATGGTACACTTACATTTTACGAACAGGATGGAATATTATATGAATGTCATTTTCCAGGCCCACGTGCACTACCAACTCCGATAGCTTACTGCGAAATTACGGATTGTTTTTATCGATTTAGTGCCGAATGGAACTTGGAATGCTATACGTAAGTTTTTTTTACTTTTTAGCAATTATAGAAATAAAGTGGATTTATCTACAATAGAAATTGACTTAATCCATTTCGGCGCTTAAACTTTTTGATAATTTATAATTACACTGTTGATATATACGTATGCACAATTTTTTTTAGAATTGTATCAATCAGGTTTAAATTTTTATCTGGGTATATTCTGAATCCATATAACAGTTTTGGTATAAATTCTGAATTCCTAAATATGTGAATTATGTAGACTTTATAACTCGCACAAAATGTTATCTGCATTGATGGTACATATATAGGTATATTCTATAATTTTGTTGAATTTCAAAAAGCAGACTCTATGTAAGTTGAGGTCAGTAAAATATAATGAAACGAGAGTCATTATTTATATTTTGAGTTTATTAATGAAACAATACTAAACAATATTTGTCGTTGAAAATTGCTTTATTGTTTCACGAAGTATTTTTCCTTATGATTAATACACTTTTGCATGCGTTTGTCAAAGCATTTTTTCCAATCTTCTTCAGAAACTCCAAAACATTGTTTTTATATGCTTCATGATTTCTGCTTCTCCACCGACAAAAATCGTTATCCACACAATTTATTCTTGACGTTCGGGAACGAGAAGAAATCAATGAGTACCAATCATTGGGATTGTACGGCGGATGACCCATCAATTCGATTTTTTTTATGTTCAAAGAGTCGTTTGCTAGACGAGATGTGTCAGTACTCACATTGTCTTGATGGAGATGGAGAATGTCTGACGGCGCTTGTTTGTTTTCCGTATTTCACTGAAGACTTTTGGTAAATAAACGGTTGTATACCATTCGGAATTACGACTTTACGTTCCTGTAATGGTACAGATATAGTTGCCACATAACCAGTTTTTACGAAAAAACAAACGGCCATTTGTTTTGAAGTATGTCGCATTAGAATCTTGCAGTATCCATCAATGTTTCGAGAAGAACAACTGATTTTGGATGACCTTCAAGAATTTCGTCAGTGAACGAACTGCGGCCACGATTATAATCATTGTACCAACGTTTCACAGTAACAAAGGATGAAGCTATATCGCCAAATGTGGAAATAAATTTATCAATGTACTTTTGCCTTGATAATCCACAATACAAACAGAAAGTCGTAATAAAGCATCGTACGAAAAATTTTTCGGGTTAATTCCATTTTTTTGTGAACATTCAATTTACAAATTACTGTAAGTAACACAAATAACGATCTTTTGACAAAAAGACTATGGTAGGTTATGTTTAATAATATAAAACTTTCGTATGAAAACGTCAGATGACACCTGACAATAATCAATGTTGCCAAGGCTCAAAATATAAATATTGACCCTCGCACAATAGGCAATAGTTGCTTTTAAGTGTAAGCATTGTTGTGCCATTAATATGCGTTATTTACACCTAATCTAACCTAACATAGTGTCTCAAAGCTAGTTTTATTTAAAGTTTATCTGATTATCTATAAGATTATCTGTTACAAAATCGTGGATAATTTAAAAAAACTAAAACCACGCAGAAATTACTATGTAAGCTTTTCAGGAATCATCATATGTACATAATAGAATAGAACAGAATTCAATAGATATTTAGGCTCTCAAAGGAAGTGAATACTATGCCTATAGAAAATCTTTTCGAGTTTCGAGTTAGCATTCACAAAGAATGTACCTAGAGGAGTCATTTCCTATTAGGCAGACACGATATTTTGCCACTGCAGACGAACAAAAATTCAGAAACGTAACTTGCTCTATAGTAAAAATGATCTTGTTTCATCACAAAAAGAAAATTACGAATATGCTCAAAAAGTTTCCGGATTTTGTTGTTTGTTAACTGCTCCTTAAGTAATAGACCTTTTTCAAAAATTTTTTGTTTTGTTATGTTAGTACACCCTTTCTTGACTTTGTTACAAATTTGAGCGCCATCTGTCAATTAGTTTGTTTACAGCATCTGTTAATGTGAAACTACCTCAAGTGCGTTTAGCGATTTTTACTTTAGAAAATTTTTGTTGTACGCGACTTTTTGACCAAACATGGCACCACTGTCATCGCTCAGGCACCATATTCACCAGATCTAGATCCATGCGATTTTTTACTGTGCCCGAAACTCAAATTGTCCCGTCGTGGTAAGCGTTTTGAGTCGATTGAATCGGTAAAAGAGAATTCGCTGAAGGAACTAAAAGCCATACCTTCACGGGCCTACGAAAAGTGTATGGAAGATTGGGTTAAGCGTTGACATATGTGTATCGCTTTAGATGGAGCATATTTTGAAGGAGATAAAATAAATTTGGAATAAAATTTAAATTTGTTTGTTTTATTTACAAAATCCGAGTACTTTTTGAGCAGAAATTTGATAAACCAAATTTTTTACATATTGTTATTTCAGGTATCAAGATTTGGCGCATTCTTCAATAAATAAATCCAATTTTCAATCAATTTGGTCTGTATGTCTAGGGGAAGGCATTATCGATATAAGCGTAGTTCAAGCAAAAGAGTAAGTACCAAAAAATTGTTGATATAATATTTAGTTTGGTAAAATTAAAGCGTAGTAGAGTGATTTCCGAGAAATGGTTTAACCGGAAGCATAGTACCATTTTGATTTTGACGAACTAAGAAAGAGGACTAGAACTTGAGGACTTGATTGATCATTGTCATTTAAGTAAAGATAGTAAAATTCGGTATTAAATTATGAAGAGCTTAACTGTCATTAGTTTAGAATCAAACTGTAATCTAAAGATATATATCAATTAAAAAACTATTATCTTAACAGGGAATATGCAACTATAATGGTGTTGGGTGAAAGAAATTTTATCAGTTTGCGAGATAATGGAACGTTAGAGTTTATACTTAAATTAGATTATGTACCAAAATGTTTCTATACATTTCTTGTGGGATATTATTGGGGTAAGTCAGATAAATAATTTTGACTTTAAAAATTAAATGCATTTTCTTCAATTCACTACTTAAGAACCAAATGCACGATTGAAAACTGTAATTGTATCGGATAGTGCCAAGCTATTTATATATGAAGACGCTAATATTTTATGGGCAGCACAATATAATAATGTGGCACCAGTTGCTATACAACGCTCCAATTTGCATGGGTTGCCTGGTGGTATTGTAACCTTAGGTCCAAGCGGACAGTTACTAATTGGTTATTTGGGTTCTGAACCTTACGTTTTTCAAGTACCGCCATTGGAACAAACTGAAATTAAATTTAATCAAGCGCACAAAGATCTTATGCAACTTGAAGATGAAATTAAAGAAGCAGTTGACACCAGAGATATGGAAGCATTAAATCAACGTGCCTATGAAAATGTTCGAGTACACTTTTCAATTGATAAAGAAATCAAAGATGATATAGATGATATACTTCTTGACATACCAGCTGATGTAGCACTTAAGGAACTTCCGGCATGTGGTGGAGCATTAAAACTTAAGTGTAAAATCGAGTTGGCTGAATTACAAATAACATTTAGTACACCAGAAGGCATACGTTGTACACAGGAAACTATTACCTACAATGATATGGCGGCAGGTACGAACAAAACTATAGAATTTGATTTTTATATCGCGGAACTGTTACATGTACACTCCACCCGAGTCGATGTGGTTATCTCCTTTATAACGCCTAAGGTACACTTTATATTCATTTTATAGAAATTTTCATTACCAAATATTTTTTATGATCTATTTGGAAAGGGAATACCACGTGTTATTCAAAAAACAGCATATTTACCACTGAGTATGTTCTTCAAAACCAGAGCACCACAAAAAGCTGCTGCTATCAAATTTACTTTTGACTTGAAAACTAAACTACCCACCCCATTATTAGCGACATTTTTTTCGGAATTTATATCTTCGGAAAGTGATGCTCAAGCTATTGGTCTAGTACTTTTATGTCCCGCTGATGATAAGTCGGATGAGATAGTAACTGTTGTTGCAGCTAAAAATTCGGATCGTCTGAGGTACTTCTTTTTTTAGCAAAACGTTATTTAATTTGAATAATTTATTTGATATTCACATTATTTTGATAGAATTCAATCGGACTGTTTGGAAACGTTTCCCATGATTTTAGAGCGATTAATAACTGTGACATTGGAGAACGAGAAAAGTAAAGAAAGTTTAGAAAAAATCAAAAAAGGGAAAATTAAAGGAGCTATTAATCGTAATACACATTGTATTGTGGCAACTCCGTTTTTACCTAGTCAGCATATCTTACATCGAATAGATATGCACCACGAAACTGAAGAAAATATCAGAAAACAAACTGTAAGTAAAACTACTGGCACGATTTCTATTTCTATAGCTCTCTAATTGAACAAGGAATTTCAGTAGTTCTGTGCATTATATGCAACTTTTATTACTATGCTATATGCTCTTGGTTATATGAAAATTTTACAATGAAAATCTTAAACAGCAAGCAGATTCGCTAGATCGTTTGGTTAGATTAGGTACTAGCGGCGCTTCAAAGGGATTCACTTAGGTGCATTGGCCTATTGTGTTACCGTATAAGGGAAAGACTCAAACGTTTTAAATCATCTTAAACCATTGGGAAAGCTTCAAATTTTATTTAATGGGAGGTCTTAGAGTTAACGAAGATCTCCTAAGAAAGGAGGCCGCTAGAGTAGATGGTCCTTACTAGTTATTTTTGTCATTAATGTAAATTTTACATTATACCAGTTGGTGTTATATGGTGTGTATAGTTTCTGTAAGTGTAATCAATGTGAAAAGGCATATTATATAAAGGCTATAACGGCATATAGCTTTATAAAAAAAGTTGCTTAGAAAATACAGTTTAAGTCAAATTCACTGTTAAATCGGGGCGCTACAGAAATATGAATCTTGACAAAATGTTTATATTATAGTTGAAAGTTTTTAAAAGATATAAATATTTGGTATAAAGGCGGAATTGGATGAACTTTGGTTGCAATTTAAATCACTACAACGGGAATTACAGGAGAAATCGACAGATGAACCCAAAGAAACACTGCAAATGCAAATTGAAGAAAATTATGATCACCTGATCATTGAAGGAGACAAACTAGTAGAATTGCGCAAGGATGAAAAGAAGTAAATATTCCAAAAACTTTAGGCATTATACTAATTTTTATATCACAACAGGCAACGCTGTGACCTTACTTGCTCTATCGCAACTACAACATTAGTGTTATCCTGTCTTTGTATGGAAGAGAAAATTGTAAATGTAGTATCGTCAGTGTTATGCACTCCAGTGGAAGACTGGACTGAAGTGGTAATTTGTAAAATACATTTGCTAATTTGTTCATAGTAAATAATTTATGCTGTACATTTATAGAGCTGGGAAGAGTCAATGTCACCTGGTATTGATATGTTACATCATTATGGTCCTTTGACTAGAAACAAGAACTCTAATGCTAATAGCGTTGAAGATAAAACCACCGCACAACCGAGTTTTGATTATGGACGCTTTAGGCGTCATTTTGCAATTTTTTTCGATCGTATTGTACGTCTCGCATCAAGAGTAGATCTTAATAGGAACACATCTAATAAAAGTCATCGTGATGATCTTGCACCGTTGCTTGATAATAATGACAGTACTGGAAGTTCAGATCCTATGGTAGCACAAGTTGATAAGTCCAGTACTTTACATCGTAGCACTTTAGAAACTGTGCAGGATGATGGTAATGAATATGATGAAGAGGATTTGCGTGAAGTTGGTTATAAGAAAGACTATGGTAGTAAAGAAGAGGAGAAATCTTCTGAAAATACATCAGACTGGGTTAATGAAAACTATGAAATACCGTCAAATGAAGAATTGTTTAGTGATTTGGGTATTTGGTGGTAGTTTCAAAATGAATATTTATTTAAAATAACTTGAATACGTCTTTAAAATATTTTTTAATTACATGTACCTAATTTTTTTTGTTATTTGCACCAGAAACGAAAATATATTTTTATCTCGAATTCATCCATTTCTTCAAGACTTTTACAATTCATAGGTACAGGTAATGTCTATATCCCTAGATGTATTGGCACAGATCGAATTAATATTGTCAATAATTTCTTTAAGTTTCTTTAAGTTAATTATTTAAGAAAAATCGATTAGTTTAAATTACTATAAACCTTGCGTTTTAGCTTCTATTAGGTGTAAAAAAAGTCTCATCGGTTCTTTACCATGCTCTTAGAAATATTTTCTTTTAGCTTACTAAAGGACAGTAACCAAAGATTCGTGGTGTTAGACAATAATTTCTGTATCAACTTATAGCGCTTTGTGATAAATATTTTAAATATCATGTAGTTAGGTATATGGAAAAAGTGGTAAGGTGTATACTGTTCGCGACTTCCGTCACTGGATACAAAAATCCACAAACTCTTTTTCTTAACTGATGTTTTGGTAATAGGTTTACCGAATCTGACTATGTCATAAGAAAATTTTGACAAATGGTGTAAATAATTCGAAGAAGGCAGAGAAAGCGTTAAATACAATATCCACCCTAGATGGTCATCAACATTAAGTTATGAAGAACTTATTAAGAAAGTCAAAATAGTTGGTTTTTTGGCATTCTTAAAACACATCAAAGATAGTGTTAATAATTGATTTGGATCATTTAGATAAGTCCAGAACATTTTAAGAGATGTTTTGTTTCTTAAAAGTTTATAATCACGTTTGTTGCCAAAAATAATTAATATTTTTGAAAAACAGCGTCCCCTTGAAATTCGTCGAATAATGTTTTCTGAGTAACAGAATGAAATGAAATGCATATTAACTGGAGATAAGAATTAGATCTATGCATATGACCAGACGTCTACTCAAGCCAAACAGTGCAAGAAATTAATCAACCCCAAAACATTACGCTAAAGTAGTTTAAATATTATAGTGAATTTAACAGTTTTCTTAAATTAACAGGATGTGATCCATTGTTAATTTCTTTCGCTGGAACAGGACTCTCTGTTAACAGAGAATAATAATTAAGCGTAATGCAATGTTTACGTAGAGCTACTTACAAAGAGAGGCCAGAATTATGAACATACAATTCTTTGTTTTAGCACTATAATCCACTACGATTTAGAAGCTCAGACTCTTTTGATCTATTGTATTCACCATGTGACTTCTAGCTATTTTTAAGCTCAATATAGCCACTGTAAGTAAACTATTTCGTTACTATTTAAAAGATAAAACCCAAATCCTTGTGCGCTTTAAAGGCAATTCCGGAAATCATTTTTAACACATATCTTAAAGGAACGGGTTTGGAAGAAACGCTGGCATAAGTGTATTGTATCGACAGGAGAGTTCCTTAAAAGCGTTGAAATAGATTAAGAAGAATAAGTATAGGTTTTGAAAGTTATAAACAATTAAAGTCATTCCGGCGAACTCAATTTAGGTTCAAGCGAACCTGTCGTTTGAAATTTTTGGTGAATTGTACTCGAATTCCGGATGATATCAAAAAGGTCTTTGTGTTTATCGGGATTTAGGCATTTAGTTTGCAAACAAAAATTTGTGTGTGTGAGTGAAAAAGTGAGAGTATAATATGCTATATATAAGTATCATGAATAACAGGAGTAACATAATGTGACAATGAGACACGAACTATTTCTACACGGATGAAATAACACCTATTTTTTGTAGAATTAATGCTTAAAGCTTTCAATTATAAAAGTGTACTCGAATTATAAAGTCGTGTTTCGACCAGCAGTTTAAATAAATAATAGATCAAATGAAGAAATATAGAAAATAAAAGTCTTTCATGTTTTCTTTAATTAAAATAATTAAATAGAGTTTATAAAAAAATATATATTCTAAAACTATATGCAAAAATCTTTCTTAAAACTAGCCTGTACAGTTGCAGGGTTGGTTTTTAGTGTATTTATGGATGGTGGGTCTTTAGGAAGATCATTGCTGTTGTGTTCTTGATTGAAGTCGTACAAGTTTATCTAGTTGGTCACTTAGATATGTGGTGAATATACATTGTGACCGAAAAGTTTCCGGAAAATTTTAAATAAAACGCAAAATTCTTAATCTTCATCAATATTTATTTTATCTCCTTCAAAATATGCTCCATTGAGCGATACACAATGCCAACGTTTCTTCCAATCATCAACTTATTTTTATAGGCGCTTTCCGGTATGGCTTTGAGTTCCCTCTGCGAATTCTGTTTTACGTCTTCTATGGATTCAAAACGCGTTCCTCTGAGTGGTAATTTGAGGTTGGGAAACAGGAAAAAGTCACACGGTGCAAGATCAGGTGAATACGGTGGCTGTTCGATGGTATTTATTGAATGTTTGGCCTTAAAATCGTTGATAATGTTGAACAAATTGAGGTGAATCGGAACAAGCCGGGCGTTGACACGTCGCATACACAAATTGTCCACCAAAATCAAACGAGCCATCTCACGACCGATGCCTAGCTCTCGTGCTATCTCTCTAACACTCACATGAGGATTTTTGAACACGATTTCCTTTGCCTTTTCAATGTTTTCGTCGGTGGTAGAGGTCGAAGGTCGTCCAGAACGCGGCATGTCTTCGACGGTCGTACGACAGTCCTGAAAGGCTTTGTACCACTCATAAACTTGAGTTTTCGATAAAACTGATTCCCCATAAGCCTTTTGTAGCATTCGCAACGATTCTGCACACGAAATTTCGTTCGAAAAACAAAATTTGATGCAAACTCTTTGTTCAATATTTTTTTCCATTGTTTTTTTCGCAACGCACTACTGAGGTGAACTGGTTTCAACAGCTGCCGTAAACGAACTGTTGACAAATCGCGCTCATTTTTGGCATAGTAATTTAAGGACAGTGCTGCCAACTACATAAACTTAAATATCGAAAAATATACAGCGCGCGAATTTTAAATGAGAATTTCCGAAAGCTTTTCGGTCACAATGTATAATATAAAAATATATAAAGTGAATATATAAAGTTATAAAAAAATATAAATAATATATTGTTTATAAATATATTGTTTTAAATTGTTTGAAGTACTGCTATACCCTAAAAATCACTTTAAAGGTCAGTTATGTTTTATCACCACGTGAAATTTTTATTTTATTAATAAGGATTTATAAATGTTTTATTTTAATATAATACAAATATATATATATACATATATATTTAGTACTTTTTTTATTAAGGAAATAATTGTGGTTTTATCTATTACAAAATAATGAGTCAGTATTTAAATTTATTATTCCATTGATTGAAATATTTGATTTATTTTTAAGTCATGACTCAATTTGAGTTGTGAGCCTTACTCCATATTTTGCAGTTATTTTTATTATAAAATCATCATTAAACTTTTTTAATGACAATATAATAATAAGTACAAACAAAATAAATAAAAAAAAGTGTTTATAAAAAGTGATCACGTTTTTTGAAAATGTTTTTTTGACGAGTTTTTTTTCATTATAAAAAAGATCAGATATCAGATTTTGGGTTGTAGGATCGAAAAAGTGTTTTGTTTTCGTTTGAAGTTTTTGGTAATAAAAAATTCTGAATTAACTTTAACACATGTGAATGGGAACAATTCAAGCGAAATTTTCGATTGTTTATGAGCGGAAATTAAAATGAATTTTTTTACATTATTTTTATTGATTTAAGTATAAAAAATCGCTTCCATTTTTAATTCTCATTGCATTGTTAATTATTCACACATATTAATTACGATGCACATTTGATGTAATTGCGAACCTGTGCCTGTCAAATTAAAATGAAAATATTAATTATAAAAAAAGATGAACACTTGTCCGCTGTCAAACGAGGCATTTATTTAGCTCACTTAAATTTAACTTAGTTAATAAGAATTACTAATTTCGATAATGAGAAATTTCGTATATATATAAACCGAAGTCCTTCAGAAAAGCAAGCCATTAAGTGTTATATATCTCCAAGAACAAGTAGCAAACCAAAAATGTCTTACAAAATGTATTTCAAAGTACTTAGTTTGATTTTCATATATGCAAATGTAACGAAATTTTCCGTATTATCAGCGAGTACAAAACTTTCTTGGTGTGATCCAGAATTATGTCCCAATGGCGGAACAAATATTGCCTGCAACAATGATGGAGTATGACATACTATATAGACCAACAGTACAACAATAAAATTTATTACAAAATTTTCTATTTTCTTTTAGAATTTCAATGAACGTTGCCCACCAGATACAACTATGTTAGACCTACGTCCTTATCGATCATTCATTCTACATGAGCACAACAAACGACGCAACTTTATAGCAGCTGGCCTATTACCGGGCTATTATCCTGCCTCACGTATGGCAACGATGATTTGGGATGATGAACTTGCATACTTGGCAGCATTAAATTTAAAGGCTTGCTATGTGGATCACGATCCTTGCCACAACTCCTATCGTTTCCGTAATGTCGGACAAAATTTATCGGGTGTTGATCGTCAACATGATCTTCCAACAAATATTACTGATCTTTTATTACAATCAATGGGTTTATGGTTTGGTGAATATCCTTTGATTGATAGTAGTTACATTAGCAAGTTTCGTGTTGCATCTAATTTGTAAGTGTTTTAAAATCTTTACATATATTTAAATTTCTATAGTCTGTTTTTATATATTTCAGTGAGGAATATGGACATTTTGTTGAAACTGTGATTGATCGAAATACTCATGTTGGTTGCGCCATGGTGCGGTACACCCATGCTGAATATCCATTCTTGTACATATACAATACAGCTTGTAATTATGGTAGTGTCTATGCTGTGGGTGCAGAAGTGTACCGTGTGGGTGAGCCTGCTTCTGAATGTGAAACTGGCTCTAATCCTTTTTATCCTTCATTGTGTTCAATTGAAGAAAAAATGAATCCTAATTATAGTTAATAAATAAATTAATTAATAAAAATAAATTATTTTACAA